GACGTTCCAAACAACTGAGCTACCCAGCCAGGGCAGATTTTTAACAGAAGGTCAAGGAAATTTAATGGCAAAAGGATAGTCTTTCAACAAATGCTACTGAGACAATTGGACTGCTGCATGTAAAGAGATAAATTATGACCCTTACATCATCAAGGGAAAATTGGGCCAACTGTAATAGAACATAAATAATTTAATTAATTAATTATAAGAAGAAAAACCCTTATAACATACACACACAAATGCAAAATAGCATAAATATAAGTATAAAAACTAAAATATAAAATTTTTAAATTTTATGAAACATTGGGAGACAAAAATCTTCATAACCTTGAGTTAATCATAGATTTCTTAGATATGACACAAAAAGCCCAATCCATAAAATAAAAATAAATAAATTGGACTTCATCAAAATTTAAGATGTTTGTGCTTCCAAAGACACCAGTAAGAAAATGAAAGACATGTCATAAACTGGGGGAATACTTACCATATACATGATAAAGAATTCTTGTTCAGAATAGGAACTCTCACATATTCGGTAATTAAAAAACAAGTCAATTTAAAAATGAGCAGAAGGTTTGAGTAGACATTTCACAAAAGAAGAAATAGGAATGGCTAATAACAGCAAAAGGTGATCCACATCATTAGTCATTAAGGACATGCAAATTAAAATCACAATGAGACACTACTTTACACTCACTAGAATGACTACAATAAAAACAACAACAACAAAGACTGAGGAAGAGACAGAAAAATAGAAAAACTGGACTCTTCATACATCACTTGTGGAAATGTAAAATGCTACAGTGGCTTAGGAAAACAGTTTGGCAGTTTCTTAAAATGTTAAACATAAATTTACCATGCAAGCATTTCCACTCTTAAGTATCTCCTCTAGAGAAATGAAAACATGTATCCACACTAAGTCTTGCATGCAGTCTTTCACAGCAGCATTAGTCATAATAGCCCCAAAGTGAAAACAATAAAAATGGCCACCAGCTGGGGCATGGATAAACAAGGTGTAGCACAGTCATACAATGGAATACTGCTCAGCCATAAAAAGGAATGAAATACTGATACAAACTACAGCATAAATGAGACTCAAAAACATTATGCTATGTGAAAGAAGCCAAACCAAAAAGTCACATATTCATTCATATGATACATTTTCATGACTTATCCAGAAAAGGCAAGTTTATAGAGACAGCAAGCAGAATACTGGTTGTCTGGGTCTAGCAGTGGGAGCTGAGACTGACTGCATATGTTGGCACTAGGGACCTTTTTCAGCTAATGAAAATGTTCCAAAACTGCATTGGAGCGATGTTAGCATAATTTTTACATTTCCTAAAGATTATTAAATTGTATACTTTACACAGGTAAATTTTCTATATAAATTATAACTCAATAAAATAGTTTTTAAAAAATCCTACATGGATTCTCACTATTTATATCTTCCAAAATTATTCCTTCAAATCTCTGATTGCTTTTAAAATGACAACTTTTCCCTAAAATCATTCCTAAAAGCATTCCTGCTCTGCAACCAACTTTTTAACTTCATCAGTTTTAAAAGGTTGTAAAAGCTCATTCTCAGAAGTTTGATTCATTTTCTTTAATCTATATAATCAAGATGGCAATTTTGATAATGAGTTTCTTTCATTCCCCAATAACCCAATGAGTTGATGTAATCAGGCAAAATGAATGATCTAATGACTCATATATAATACTACTTTACAAAGCTGTAATAATCCTAAAGCTCCTAAGTCTTCTGAAGAAATAAAAATACCACCTGTCACATGAAATGATTTATACATTCTCTGGTATGTACAGTATAAATCATTGTCTAACTCAGGCACAATGCCCACTTTTGCATCCTAAGTTTTTAACTTTTTTGTTGCCTTCACATAAAGAAAAAAAGAATTTACATTGCTCTTCATGAGGCTTGTCTTTTCTCCTTAAAATGTCCCTAAAATATACAGCACCAATCTCAGATCTAAGGAGTAAAGACTTCCTCCAACTCATCTATTTCCCAAAACATATAACCTAAACAAATAACTTCTATGTGTTCCCTGTAATGAATCTACCCTTGTGAACAGACAAATCAGGAAAGACATACCACCAGTTGCTCTCTCTGTTGATGACCAGGCATACTCCTGAGTATTTGCCCTTCTTCCACTTTCTGCTCCATTTCCCAGTCTCACTGGTGGCTTTCACAAGTACCTGCCTTGAGCTGTGTTTGACCTACAAGGGCTCTGATGATAGGTCATGTTCCATCAGTCTTATTTCCATTCAATTTGTTTTAGAAGATTCTTTTTATCCCACTTTTCCTATTTTTTTAAAAGACTTTATTTATTTATTTTCAGAGAGGGGAAAGGATGGAGAAGAGAGGAAGAGAAACATCAATAGGTAGCTGCCTCTTGCTTGCCCCATACTGGGGACCTGACCCACAACCCAGGCATGTGCCCAGACTGGGAACCGAACTGGTGACCCTTTGGTTCACAGGCCAGCACTCAATCCACTGAACCACACCAGCCAGGGCTCCATCCAATTTTTAAAAAGAGAAGAATGATTCTCTCAAACTGTGGTTTACAGTACAAATCCTAAAATTATGAAAGATGTATGTGTATGTAAATATAAATATAAAAATAAATGCAAAGATTTAATTTACTGCCAGTCTTTAGTCTTCCATTTCATTCTAAGCATCTTCTTTCACATATATTTCTAAATGTTAAATTCTGGGAAAATTAGTTATAACTGAATATTCATTACTTTTTTAAAGTGTATATTGGTAGTTTTATTTTTTTATAGCCAATTATTATCTGGCTTAACAGGGCTCTATTTAAATTAAAAATTGAATCAGTCTATTCAACAATGTCTATTGAATGTCCACCAATTAACAGGCCCTGGATATTTAGGAACAAATAAGGTACAGTTCCTGCCTTCAAGAAGTTCATAAGCCTTCAAGGAGTTCATAAGCTGTTGGGAATGAACTACTATTACATATAATTTAAATCAGATCAAAATAAGTATCACAATATTCATTTTTTAAAAGCTGTGAAAACAGAGGCTGCAACTTGGGAATGACTGAAGATTTCAAAGAGTTGACTTGACAAAAAAGAACTAATGCTTCAACTGATCCAAAATGGGGAAAGTAGGTAGCAATAAATTCCTGGGGAAGAGCCAAGTGAGGTGAGGTGTGTCTCTAGAATCAGGTGAGGACATATTGGGAGACCAGTCTGATCACTGAGCACTTACTTTGTGCCAAATACTATTAAAAACACTTTACATGTATTACTTATTTGATCCTCCCAACAACCCTATGAGGAATTTATTATCATTCCCATTTTATAGATGACAAACCTGAGATATAGAGCAGTTGCATAACCTGTTCATGGTTATACAGACACAGCTAAAAGTTAGGGAGCCAGGGTCTTCAAGTCCATAAATAATAAAAGAAGACCAAATTCTTTACCCCCAACCACACTCATTACAAAAGCAGTTAACAGGTAAGCTCACGACCCCCTTTCTCATTAATTCCTAGGCCACCCTTCAAAGACTAGCTGAAAAAATTTCTTCTCCACAAAGCCTTCTTTGATCCCCCCAATTAAACATAATCTCTTTCTCCTTTAAACTATATAATACTTCATCTTTTTTAGATGGCCCACAGCCGGCTCCCAAAATGTGACTTATAACAAGTAACTTATGACAAGTCACATTTTGTTCCTGACATTACAGATTTTATGTCATTCTTTTTTATTTTCCTTTAGAGATCCACTTTCTGTTCTCCACAACTCCTAGGGCAGTGCCTGGCACATAACACTGCCCAGTCTATGGAGCACTTATTCTTGGCAAGGTATTGTGCTAAGCATTTTACAAGAATTATTTCACAAAATCCTTACAGCAACGCAATTCACAACAGCTATATTTAGCCTATTCTGTGACAGACAAAATACTAGATGCACCTTAAATTCAATAAACAAGACAGAAACAGTCCCTGCAAGAAGCTTACAGTCTAGGGAGGTTGGTACTACCGGTGTCCCTAAGTATAGATAAAAGTGAGACCCAAAGGATTTAAGTAAATGTCCAGAATCACACAGCAAAGTGGCAGAGCCAGAATTCAAACTCAGTTTTCAACTTTTTGAGAGAAAAGCAGGAAATTAGCAAAAATACATTATGTATCTTCCTTAATACATAGGCAGTAGCTCAGAACTGCTAATCAAGTAATCTGTTGAGGAACCTACGTGAGTTTTATTTCTCTGTTTCTTTTACGAAGTGGTCCCTCTTGAGCATCAACACGCAGGGTGGTATAGAGGAGTCACTGGCAGCGAGATCTTGGGGTATATCTATCAAATATCTGAATGGAATGGGGCAGAAAGGTAACAATGCACAATTCCTTACTTAACCGTGGTTTCAACTATTCTTAAAGGGTGTGTTCAACTCACACAAATGTGTGGGTCCGTAATTTCCAGTGGCGGGGTGAGGAAGCTGCCTGCCACTAGAGGATTACATTACCCTACATATAACTCAGGCACCCCTCTGGCCCTAGGGCCAGAAGTACCTGCCTTCTGGCTTAACGTCACACCACCACAGCCCGGTGGCCAGAGAGGAACACTTCTCCCAAAGCCACCTTGGCAGCCGCACAGTGAGGCCTATCCTAGCCATCTCCTCAAAGAGAAGTAGTGATATCCCAAAATATTAACCAGGCAGAAAGAGGCGCCCGGACCCATGAGTCGTATTCCCACAATTTTTACAATTTCTTATCCCAACAGGAGACCACCTGACTTAAGATCAAGTTCATCACGTTAACCAGTGAGGACGACCTCCGAGGGCCAGGACCGAAGCCCCTCAGCCTCCTCGGACACAGCCGTCTTGGCGGTGTGTTATATACCGACTCCTCGCATGCCACCGAATACCACCCGCCTCCAGCGCTCAGCCTTTTTGCTCGGCAGCCCGCATGCCGAGGGCGCCGACGGTACGCAGGAGGCGTGTCCAGCGTAGGACGCGCGCTTCGCCTCACCCACCCTCCTGCGGCGCCGGCGCCCTTCGCTCCAGTCTCCGCCGTCTTTCCCCCGCGGCGACCGCTGGGCGCATGCGCCTTGACTGATGGGCTGGGTGAGGGCTCCTTATGCAGGGCAGGGGGAGGCGGAAATGGAAGGGGTCTGCTTGCACTAGATCGCCTCTGCCCCTGCAGCCACTGCACGGCGCGTTGCGGGCGGAGCCGGGGGCGCTGGTCGTTGGGGAGGTGAAGGCCCGGGCTCCGACCCAGAGCTGGAGCAGGGTCGCGGCAGCCGGCTGACCCGCCCTTGTTTATGTGTGGTGTCCGCATAGGTAGACATGGAGAACTGCTTGGCGGCCGCGGCGCTGAACGGAGTGGACCGGCGTTCCCTGCAGCGCTCGGCGAGGCTGGGTCAAGAAGTGCTGGAGCGGGCTAAGAGGAGGGCGGTGGACTGGCATTCCCTGGAGCGTCCCAAAGGCAGCCTGGGGGTTATTTCCCAGGAGAGGCCCTGCCGAGAAAGATGGCCCGCAGCCGGCCCCCAGCGCCTTCTCCCAGGAGAGGTGAGGGCCGCTGTGCTGGGGAGCAGCCCATTCATTCGCCCAGCGGTGGCCTCCTGGACACCAGGGCACGGGCCACGTGATGGATGCTCCTGAGGGACCCTGCCCTTGGCGGCGGAAGCTGTGAAGTGTCAAGAAAGTGAACGGAAAAGCCCTCTGAAAACTCGTGACATTTACAGATCATTTTTGGGTAGCTTTAGGATACTGCTAGTGCTCGGCCAGGTTGGTTACTTAAAAAAAAAAAAATTCTTACATGCTACCATCTGAGATTAGAGGCAAGCCCGTAAACCAACCTTTGTCCTGGGTAAATAGCCTGTCAGTGTAGTCCTTTTACAGTTGGAATTCTTTCTCAGTAAGATCTTTCTCACTGACTTTAAGACACTTTCGAAAAGCAAAAAGGCAGCTATTTCCCAAATGACTTCATTCTCCCGTGGGGAATACCAGCTCTCACCTGTGACTTGCCATTTATTCAAATAGAGAGAAGAAAGGCGCCCAACCCTCAGTGCCTCCTTCAGAACAATGGCTGAATTCATGGACTATACTTCAAGTCAGTGTGGGGTAAGTTGGTGTAAGCTGAAGCCATGCCCCTGATCTGCCTGGTGATGGATCACAAAGTGGACCTTTGTGGACTTAAGGGAGAATCTGGAGACTACCAGTTCACCCTGCCCTGTCTTCATGGGTGGATTGTAATCACTCAAGGATTTAAACCAGGTGATAAATCCAAGCTATTGTAAAATTCATTCAACAAATATTTATTGAATGCCTAATTTAGGAGATATTATTGAGGATACAGCGGTGAACAAGTCAGAAAAGGTCTCTGCTGTCATATTATTGCTGAATTCTAAAACAATCAAGTCCAAATATTCAGAGTTTTTTAAACTTTGAACTGATGTGGAGTTGTTTTAAAAAAATTCAGTAGGGTCACTCTAACCTGGAACCGAACCTCTGTGTTTTCAAAATGGATTGAAACAAAATCCCTACATTAGAATTTAACCTCTGTTTCAAGACCGTGGTAATGTAGTTTTAATGTTCCTATGGGTTCATATTGCTTGATGGCCACAAAGGTGGTTCTGTGGAACCGCAGCAGCTTCCCGGGAATCAGACCCATGTTCTGCCTCATGCTGGCTGTGATGCCTTAGGCCAGTTAATCTCTCTCACCCTTACCTTCCCTGTCAAAAAAATGAAGATCTCTGAAATCCTTTCCAGCCTTTACAGTCTCTGGTTTCCACTGAGAAGTGACCATCAGAAAATCATCATAAACTATAGCATGAAGACTTATTTTGGGGACCATTCATTGAAATGGGTGAACAAAGGTTTTTAAGACCCTCTTCTCAAAACTATGTACTAAGGTTGTCTTTAAGTACTTCTAAGGGATGTCAAAGGCAGGCCAGCCAACATTCAAAGAAATTACCTGCATGGAAGGTATTCTTTATTTTCTAAGAATTACAGCAGAATCTGGGTCTCTTCCAGCCCTAACTTTTTGTGATTCTTATGTGGTTGTAAGGATACTGGTCTGTAAGTAAGAAGAAGAGAATATCTTGTTTCCATCTTGCTTTTCAATTTCATATATTAAGATTTCAAAAAATCTAATCTTTCTACATCTTTCATAAAATCCCTATGGCTCCAAGAACAAGATTCCAAACAATGAGATATAGTTCAGAGAATATTTTTATGTTCTTATTGTTAAATAATTTTAGAGAAATCCTTAACGGGCTCTACTATGAAGTGATTAACTTAAAGAGAGTAATATCTGTGTTTGTTTTGAGGTTTAGCAAATTGGTGTTCTTCATTTTGGTTTTCAGTTAAGGTCTCTGTTATGGAATGGAGCCTTAGAACCCCTTGTCGTTCTGAGGTAGAATTAAAAACAGTATTCTGAGTTTGCTGTCACAATTTTGAAGCTACCCCTAAGATACGTAATCAGATCCATGTCTTGAAATGCTTTCCCCAGTTTCTTATTCTTTTGGTTTCATGCCTTAAATACTGTCCCTACACTGTGTTCAAAATAAGCAGGCGGGTAATATCCTCATCATTAGTCATAATCAAGGGCAAATCTAAGGTTAACTTCTAGGGGAAGGAAGGAAACAGGCAAGAAGAATATAATGGCTTTCTGATCCTTTGGATTATTGTCCTTAAATTGGAGACTTTTCCCTTTCCCTCCCTTCCTCCAGGGGAGAACATCTGTCTAGTTATTGGGTTTATGTTACATTTCCCGTTGTATTTCCAAATCTCAAGGAGATAAACCCCTCTCTTCCCTTTTCCTTGTCTGAGACTTAGACAATTAACATAAAACTGTTGTTCATCAGAACTTCTCATGAGAGGAGATGAAAAGGCATGTGTATTTGATGTGGGGCTCAGATAGGAAAATTTAACCTGGCAGAGAGTAAGGTCCTGCCCAGCTTTATTTGGCCAGACTTCTTGCCCTACAGAGGCAGCAGATGGCAGCAAAGTAATGCCAAATGCACCTTCCTTCTCTGCAGCCAGTTTACATGGGTTAAGATTTGTTAGGTGGCTCCATCAGCTTGTCAAGCAGGCCTGTAATTTACCTTTGCTCTTTTGCAACCCTCCTTAACCCTGTGTTGCACAAGTAACAGAGTCTTTTGAAAATTTAACCAGACTATTTAAGCACATCTTTCACATTCCTTCTCCAGAAATATTATTCATCTGTGCCAGAGGAAGGAGGGGCAACCCACGTCTATCGGTATCACAGAGGGAAGTCGCAACTGTACTTGTACTCAGGCCTAGGGGATGGTCAGGTATGTATCCTCAACTGCCCTGTGCTGTGTGCCGAGCCTCCCAAGATGGGAGGCCCTATGTCGAGAGCTCCTGCTGGATCCGTATTACTGGATGCCTGCGTGACTCAGCATTCCACTGCTCAACAGACACGTGTCAGCCCCCAGACCTGGAGAACTTATAGTAGTGAACATGAGAAATAGGAGTTCGTCGAAAATACAAGACTGATGCCACTGTAGGGTCTTCCCTTGAACCTGCCATCCTGGGCCATGGGATTTTTGGGCAGGCTGAAAGAGCTTCAGATGTCCTCTTCTACATCTAGGGATAGGAAAGAAATTTTTTCGTAATCACGTATTTTACTCTAAGATAGTGATACCTATCATGTCTTAGGTAATTAAAAAAAAAAAAGGTGCAAGAAGGTAGTCTTATTAACAAAATACTTTTCCTAAAGATAGTAACACTTATAGGCTTCTCACTACAGACTTACCTGTTTTTTACTACATGTCATTCTGGAGAAGACAAAGATTCTACTTATTGAACTGATCTGACAGAAATCCTTTGTTGTTGAGGAGAGTAGGTGTTTTTGTTTTTGTTTTTAAACTCCCCTAGTTGTACTCAAACATAGCAAACTTAAATCCAGAGTCTAACCTGCAAGCTGGATTTGTGCCTTCTCTGGCCTGTGGGTTCAGGGAAGGGAGGCGTGGCCGCAGGGATGAGAGTGAAGGCTGGACACACATGGGAAGTCCCTCTTATTCCCTGGCCTGGAAATGAGGAGTTTCAGCAGAGCCCGACCCCTGGCTTCCCTTGCTGGGCCTGATGCTAAAGGGGTTACAACAAGTGGGCGAGAGTCATTCCTATCCCTCCCATTCTTTCCTATAAATTATAAGTTGGTGCCTCTCAGGGAAATTTATCAGCTCAGCCTGTTCCCCTCTAGTACCCGCACTCCTGGGACAAGTACAGAAGACACTTTAATTCTCTGAGAGCCTATTAAGTGTCAGTCACTTCTGTACTTGAAATCTTCCCTATAATCTCGTATCCCCACCTTGTAGACGAGGAAAGCAAGCCTTAGAGAAATGAATCCCTCTCAGTAAGTAGCAGACATAAGATTCAAACTCAGGTTTATCTGACTCCAGAGCCCATGAGGGATAAAAAGTAATCATGGTGAACATCGAATTTTGGTGATAACTTAGAAAAATTGACAGAACAATTATTAGTTCCGAACAAAATAGGAGAAAATTTCTTTCTGTAATCCAGAAGTGAGAGTTCGGGCACTAACCAGTGCTTCTACTTGTTTCTTTAGAGAAAGGCAACTTCCCTTGATTTTGGAGACATCTCTCAAGCCCCAGAGTGTGCTCGAGAGGCATCCCAGCCTGTGAGTACAGAGCTCCTAGTGTCCCTACATGGGGACCTAGCGTTCACCACCATTGCAATTTCATGAACCAGTTGACCTGGTTATTTCAGGGTTCTTTGTACTGAGTCTAGTATTTTTATGTCGGGATGCTTTTATCCTTTTGGACAGTGCACAATATTGTGGTTCAGTGTAAACTGTTTTCTCGGTATCCTCCCTTGACTTGAAGCTTTAGGGATGTTCTGCGACTGAACTCATAGTTGTGGTTGGAAAGAATGTGAAGTATTCCCATCTCAGTTCCTACAACTCAGCTGGGCTGGCGCTGGGTCCTGCTGGAATTCCACCATCTGTTCAAGCAGCAGGAGGGGCCTGACCCTTGTGCTTACAAAGTGAATACCATTGCTGAAATTCTGAAACATATACATTTGGGGAGATCAGGTTCCCAAACATGTGAAGGGATTTGTTCCCCCTTTCCACCAATGTTTCTCTGTAAAAAAAATACAGGGATAAGTTTCTCATTAGGATAAAGTACTCATTAGTTTATAAGCTCAAGAAATCGTTTGGAACTTGGAAAGGTTGGAATTCTAAGGAAAGGAACTCCAGCATGTTGCTGTAAAAATTGCTTATTTTTTATTTGTATACAATGTGCTAGCCAAGATTCAGAATATATTGGGTTGGCCAAAAGTCTGTTTAGTTTTTTCAGTAAAATAAAAGACACATTTTTCACTTTCACCAATAACTTTATTGATTTGGATATTTTGAGTATGTCAGCTGTCTCCTGCATGGTACGACACTGATCGTTCTCAATGTCTCGATTTGATCGCTATCAACTTCAACTGGTCTGCCTGACTGGAGCATCATCCAGTGAGAAATCTTCAGCACGAAACGTTGCAGACCACTTTTGACATGTTCCATCGGTCACAGCATCTTCTCCATCCACCGCTCAAATCTTTTTTTTGCATTTCAGTTCCTTTTTTATCGTTCTTGAAATAATAAAGCATAATATGCCAAAAAATGTTGCCTGTTTTCTTTGATCTTCAATATTAAAATGGCCACACAGAAATTCACTAGTTTTTATAAGTTACTTTTTTTTAAATGAATGCCTATATAACAGGTGTCACAATGCAATCTAACAAAGTTGTTTCAAATTAAGTTAAAAGACAACTAAGCACTACTAGAGCCATCTTACAGAAAAACCCAAACAAACTTTTTGGCCAGCCCAATTCTAGAGTTAGTAGCAGCTTAGAATATTGTGCTTCTTGTACAAATGCAGGTGGTTCGGCTTAGATGCCTCCAACACTTGCCGAATTTTGGTGATGCTCACCTTTCGGACGATCCCGGTGTTGGAAGCACAGATGCCAGTCTTCCCCCTTGCGTGCCCTTTTACTCAGACAAATGAAGCATCCTTGGCTTTCTGAAATTCAGATACAGCTGTATTTTCTGAACCTACTTTTGCTTATTTACATGGTTGATAACTAATAAATACTTGTGTCATTACCACATACATTCATGTCAGTTAAATGATGCCAGACCTCTGATTCTGCAGTAACTGGGATATAACAAGAAAGGATATAACAGAGCAGCAGTGGAAAAAAAAATTGGCTTCCCATCTCGTAGGTGGAGGGGGAGGAAGTTTCTTAAAAGTATAAGTATTATCATTCAGCTTCTTAATAGAATTTGCTGGCCAGTGGTTTTTCCCCTTCCCTGGGTGTGGTGGGAGAAAGGACAGCTTCTCCTTCCAGCACTGAGTAAGCATGAGCGGTGTCCCGGCTGTGGAGTAAGAGCCTTGGCTCTAAATGACAGGCACTTTTCTGGTTTGCAAAGTTGCTCTCTTGCCATCTAAGCTAAGACCCCCTTCTCCGCTTGCACGCCCAGCATGACCCACTTCCCCGCCATGTGTGAAGTCTGTCATTGGAGGTTTGTGCTCAGCTCTACACATTAGTCTTCCTATTTCCCCCCGTTTTCCAATGTTTTGCACTATCAGAGAACCAGTCTGCCGCGGGAGGGCTTTTGCCAGCCAGCTGCCTTGCTGCATGACAGAATGGAACCTACTCAGTATTCACAGCTTTAGGAGAAACGTTTCCTCATCCTAATAAATTGAGCAAAGCACAGTGAAAAAGAATGATTTCCCATTATTCCAAGGTGCCTCTACATTACTGCTAATCTGTGCTAACAAGTGCCACTGTCTGCTTTTGATCCCAAAACAATGTCCTTAGCCTTTCCCCAATTCTTTCTACTCCAGCTAGAGTGCTCCTTTTATGATCCTTCATGTTCCACTTGGGCATTTACAGTGTTCCTACATGGGAGGTAGGTGTTATCACAGGCTTAGAAATAAGGAAACAAGCAAGCATAAGGAGACGCTGAGACTTACCTCAAGGATAGCCCTGTTAGGTGGCTGAGACTTGAAAACAGGACCTCCGTCTCCCACGTTGATGCCTCATTCCATCCAGCCTCTGACACACACATGTAGACTGGTGGAGGTGCCCTGGGCTTTGGGATATAAAATCTCTAAACTGCTAATATTTGCTTTCCTTCCAGGCTGACAACACTTCTAAGGACCTCTACATAGAAGTATATCCAGGGACCTATTCTGTCACTGTGGGTGCAAATGACTTAACCAAGAAGACTCAAGTGGTGGCAGTTGATTCAGGGCAAAGTGTGGACTTGGTTTTCCCCATATGATGTTGGCCATCACGTTACCTTTTTTTAAGTAGCAAGGAGAATAAAGCCACCATATGATTCTCTTAGTATTTATACATCCATCCTGCTTTTGGGGCCGACTGTAAAGGGCCAGCCTTACTGGGAACTGGAGCTTGTCTCTTTCAGTGCCTATCTCAAAGTGTAGAAGTCTTCTCACCCTATTTTGCCTGAAAGTAATAATGATGCTGTATGAATAGTTTTTACTGCTTGCTTTCCAAGTACAAGTTAATTATAATAATAAAAAGAAGACTCGATTTGGAAATAAAGAGAATACCTTTTTATTGGTATTAAGAGCAACAAAATGTCATTCATGTACAACTGTAGGCTTTATGAAAAGATGGCATAGAGGCTGCAGACACATTTGCCCAAAGCAGGCCGACCACGACCCATAATTTCGTGGGACAGCATCCTCAGGCTGACCCTGCCAGGCAGGCAGCCCTGGGCAGGGCGGCCAGCGCTCCTGTGCTTCTTACGACAGGTGCCTCCCTGCCACCCCTCTGCAGGGAGGTCTTAATGGGGTGAAGATGCCACTGCTTATTCAGCTCTCATCTGTGGCCCGCATGTTACCTCCTTCCACGGAAGGCTTTGCCAGCCACTTTGTAACTCTTCCTCAGGTATTTACTCTCTGTAACTTCCTATAAGAGAAAAAAATCCTGAGAGTCTTAGGCTGACTGCCATTTTTAAGGACCGAAAGTCACCAATTTTAAAGTCATTTTTAAAATGACTTTTTTAAGCTACCACACCAATAGTATTGTTGCACCTCTCAGTTGAGTTGCCTAGTTATTGATCTCATTTTGAACATAAGTCTTTCCTCAGGGGAAAAATGCCAGCACTTTATATGACGAAGGCAAAGTTTTAAGGAGAGCTGTATGAGCAATCCCAGTGAGGAACAGACTCCCATGGACGCAGGGCCTGGTAAAGCAGACCTGTGCCCATCACCAGATAGAGGGTCATTTAAATGGGGACCTTTGCACCCCTGGGAAGCTTATGATGATGTTTGTGGGTTCCGTAAGCCTTTTGAAATTATATGCAAAATTGTGGGTACGTGAGTTTTTCTGGAAAGAAGAGATGGGTTTTATTTTCAAAGGGGGTGTGACCCCAAAATGTTCAAGAGCCATAGAAGGAGGCCTTAAGAAGCCCCTTCCCAAGGGATTCAGAAGGAAAAACAAGGCAGTCACAAAATAGTCACGGGGATGTAAAGTACAGGATAGGGAATATAGTCAATGATATTGTATGGTGCCAGGTGAATATTAGAATTATCAGGGGATCACTTTGTAAATTACAAAATTGTCTAAGCACTATGTTTTATACCTGAAACTATAAAATAATACTGAATGTCAACTGTCATTGAAAAAAAAACACAATTTAAAAACAAGGGCCTTCCCAGCCATGCTGCTTTACCTCGGTCCTCGGGGCCCTTAGTCGGAGGAGCTCTGGCCTCTCTGGCGTGTGGCAGCCGCGCCCTGGCCTGGTTTCCTGCTTTCGGCTTTCTCTGGCAGGATCTGCGGTGGCTTCCCACTAGTTGCTTCCAGGACCAGCTCCTTGGTGTTCCCCACTATCACAGTTTGTTCTCTTTGTTGTTTGTTGCCCTTCACTTCAGTCTGGACGTTGCAACATCTTTTTCCTAAACCTAAAATTCAGCGAGCTATGTTGAATATGCCACCATTTTGATGAGTCTCGCTGACTTAAGTACAACTATGCCTAGGACCACAGAATCTCTTCACTATGTGTAAGCTCCTAGCACTGTTCTCTGTTTTTAAAGAAGAAATAAATTTTGCCCTGGCTGGTGTGGCTCAGTGGATTGAGTGCTGGCCTGCAAACGGTTTGATTCCCAGTCAGAGCACAGGTCTGGGTTGTGAGCCCGGTCACCAGTGGAGGGCATGTGAGAGGCAACCACACATTGATGTTTCTCTCCCTCTATTTCCCCCTCTGTCTAAAAATATAAATAAATAAGTCTTTTCAAAAAAAAATTTGTTAGTGATTTCTGGCTCTTACACTTTTGACAAATGTTTGATCACCACATTTAGAATTGGGTAGAAGTTACCAGACATTTTTCAAACCAGCCTTTAGAGGAAACAAAGCTAACCAACCGCCACTAGTTAAAGGAGCTTATAAATCACACTGATCACAAAGGAGATTGTAAAGTGATAGAAAAACAAGTTTTCACATTTTGAATGAGGCCAAAAAAGGGGAGGATGTGACTCCCTGAAGAATAGGGCAATATCTAAAAAGGAAGGAATACATTAAAAAAAATTCGTCACCTCCCTGGCTTTTAAAACTACAGACTGAATCCTGTTCCAGCTGCAACCCATGGAAGAGAGCAACATGGCTTCTCGCAGCAAGCAGCCTGGCCTCTCCCGGATGCTTTTTTAGGGTCAGAAGGTAACATCACTGCCTGTTGAGTCAAAGTAACAAAAAGGGTGGAGGGTGGAGGGACCCATACAAGAGGGTTAAGAGGCAGAGCCTGAGACCGACTGTCCAGCATCAGTACTTGATGGCTACCAAGCACAGCTAGGAGGCACAAAACAGCACATTTCCCTTAGAAAATATAAAATCTGGAGGGGAGAAAGAAAAGCTCTGGTGCTTGCCATTGTTTCTAGCCCCCCCGGGCACTTATGTGTGTCAACATCACTCGTCTGTTGTGGCACCTAGTACCCTACCTGTGTCAAGGGCCGGGGATGGCCCCTTCTCCACACCCCATCTCAGGCATATTCCCCATAGTTTTGGGTGCAGGGTTGGGACCCGGCAGAAGACAGGTCCACTGATTCTCATGGTTCAGCTCTAAGAACTACCTTTGCCTGGAGCAACAAACAATGCAGTACCTAAAGGAAAGCCAGGCCAAGTACCCAGAGATGGATATTTCTCTTTATGTAGCCAATTATTATCATTTATCTTGGGAAATAAAACTTTTGCAGTGGACTTGTTTAAATATGGTGATGGGGAGAGAGGCTGAACATAAGATTAGGTGGCTAGGCAGTGGCAATAAAAGCAGTGTGTGCTTAGGGCAGGGACTTGCTCAGGTTTGGAACCAGCCTAGAGACCGACAGTAGGAGTGCGCTGGTGCCGGGGGTGCGCCTGGCCTCCGCGGCCCCTCTGTTCCCTCCCCTGGCGCTCCTCTCCCTGAGGCGGGGTCTGCGGCTGCCCAGACGCTCCCCACGGGCCCCTCTGTAGGTACAGCTTTTCTTTCTCCCTGCTGTGCTGAAGCAGGAGGCAGGAGAAGCCATGGAGAATTTAGTATGAAAACTCTAGAACTGGGCATCATTTTCTTTATATTATCACCTGTTGGGAGGGCACATCTAGAAGCAAAAGCTGATTCTAAGTGGCTTCACCAAGGCCTCCCAATGTTTGTTCTGTGAGATGAGTGTGACCCGTTTCAAAGAAGCACAGGGAGGGACCTTCCCCCAGCCTTGGTACAGGGTGGGCAAACGTCGGTGTACATTTGTAATACAAATAAATAATACAATAATAATACAAAAATAAACTTCTCTGTACTGACAACAGTAAACCTATGTTTGCCCACCCCGATTTCTAGTCTCATTCCTCTCAGGAGAGGAGGAGCTCAGCTGGTCATGGCTAGATTCTTGTCCTTTCATTTTACTATTTCCCTCTCAGAGGTGGCAGGCAGATCCTACACATTTGAAAGCCAAGGAAGGCCTGGAACCCTCTTATAAAACACAACAGCAGTGACTTATCTCTGTCCCCGCCCACCCCAAAGTCCAGGGGTCCAGTGGAGACAACCAAGAAAGTTTCGCATTGTAGAAACAATTTCTCAACCATCTGGAACTGAGGACTAATGAAAAGCTTATCCTGCAGTAAGACTGAAATTCTTGTGGGCTAAGAGGTTGTTCTGGCTGAGCAGCTGTCCTGGAAAGAGTGGGATGGCTTCAAACGGGGACCCACGTGGGTCCCAATGTGGGTGGTGTCTAGAGGTCCTCGAGCTTTTAGCGGTGGCATTCTTTAACCCTCACAGCATCCCTGCCCCAGGCTGGGTGTTCCTGCAGCTCATTGAATGTTAAATCAGTGACCCCAGGACCCCAAGAATCCCATTGAGGACCCGGCCTATCCGAGCCACCCCCACCATATAGCTCGGCCGGCTGACAGGCTTCTGCTTTTCCGGGGCCCCTTTGGGAATTTCAATAGGGCGGGCAAGGGACACATCAGCCATCTACTGCTCCTAAACCTGTGAGGGCATATCACACACTTCTTAGCTCAAGATACAGAAGTTTGGGGATGGTCCTGACCAGTGTGGCTCAGTTGGTTGGGTGTCGTCCTGCAAAGCGAAAGGTTGCCGGTTTGATTCCCAGTCAGGGCACGTGCCTGGGCTGTGGGTTCAGTTCCAGTTGGGGTGTACGAGAGGCAACCAATGTTTCTCTCTTTCTCCTTTTCCCTCCCTTCCCCTCTCTCTAAAAATTAATTTTTTTTAAAGTTTGGGGGTGGCTGCAGATTGCCAACAATGACACCACCTCCCTCTGAGTCATAAAGAATGAGCAGCGTAGTGCGGCGCCCTGCTTCTGACTTATTAAGGAGCCCCTCTGGAGAGTAGGGCCCGATGACCAAGGTTTAAAAAATAACTCCTGTGCTTCTCAGGGCACTGAAGACTAATCAACACCTGGAGACATTTAGACTCTTCATCTCGAGGAAAATCAAGGTCTCCAAGAACCAAAGGGGTGAGGGGACAGGTATTATAAAACAGACAATAGCAGTGCCCTGTCAGGAAAGATCAGTGAAGAAAGGACAGTTGTTAAAGAGGGTTGCAAACCTTTGCACGAAGATCATCCCATCCTTTTTTGCTGGGCTTTACTGCTTCCGTGGAAACCTACCATTTGCCTCTTATCACAGACTCCCCGTCAGCATGACCACACTCCTAAGGACCATTTCCAATCCCAGCTTAGCGGTCATGTGGCTCAGATTCCCAAGAGACACATGGGGGGGGGGAAGGGAGCGAGGGCCTCGGCCCTGCCTCAGAAGGTATACCTGGCTTCCCAGGCCGCGGCGCAGGCCCGTCTCTCCTCCAGTACCTCCCCTCGGGCTGGCAGAGGCTGCCCGGCCTCCTCGGAGTCTTCTTAAGAGGGACGGGGTCTGTGTCGACTGTGCTGTCCACCATCAGCCTCTGAGGGGGGCCCATCTCCGGGCCTTTCTCCAAATCCTCTTCAGACGAGGAGGAGGAGGAGGAGGAGGAGGAAACTGCTATGGGAGCTGGCACGGCCACTTCCTCCTCTTTAGGAGCCTCCAGGGGCAGTAGCTGCGCTGTGGGCTTCCGCTCTGCCTCTGGATGTTCCCTGGCTGTGACCCCCAAGGTCCGGGCTAGAGGCCACCAGGCGGGTCCGGCCAAAGGGCAGCCGAGGCAGCCCTGGCACAGCAGCTGGCTGTGAGGGCACAGGTACGGGGGGCCCTGCGGAAGCCCATAGGTGATGCATCCAGTGCCCGGCCCCAGCAGAGAGCAGCGAGGGGCCCCGAGGAGGGCGCTGGGGTGCTCCCTGGTCAAAGGCCGGTGCAGCCGCTCCACAGCCTTCTTCCAGACAGCGGGGGGCACCCACCTGACCCCACCTAGAGGCACTGTAGCTGTCTTGCCATTCCAGAAGTGAACAGTAATTTCTTCTTTGGAGGCTACGTAACAGAAAATGGCAACATTTTGTTACAACTACCTCTTCTATGGCATGGGATAAGGGTCCTCCTATCCCCCAAAAGCAGCCCTTCCACTCAGCCTGCCTCCTCACACAGGCGTCTCCCGGAGAGCCTGCCAGGAATATGCCCTCACCTGCTCCCTATTTACCACCCACTTCCAGTACACCTGCGAACGTCTCCCTGTCTCAATTTTCACATCAAAACCAAAAAACCTCAGGTGGGGGACTGAAAGAACCTCCTTCTGTCGTTCTCTGAATCACAGTGATGCTGACTGGTGTGCCCTGTAGAAGGGGACTGTCCCAGTCTCGGGACGACTTGGTGGGGGACAGGTCATGAGCACTGGTATGAACCCAGGATAACCCTCCACACCATAGGTCAGCTAACCAACATAGACATTGTTTTAGGCTCTTTTGCCATGATGAAAAATATTTTTCATCTGAAAGACATGATTCATATACTTGTTGCCACACTTGGATTAAGCTGCAAGTGAGGGGGTAAGCTTGTTTGGTGGTTTTTTTTAATGCCCCTAAGACCCCTAAGTTGTGGAGACCCCCTTTGCTCTCTCCTCTGGCCCGATCGCTAGCCTGGCTCCTCCAGGGAACTGGTAGGTCAGAGCAGCCGCCCTTACCTCTCTGGGGATCTCTTGCCTCCAAGCCTAAGACAGTGGCAGGGCCATACCGCTGTCTGTCTGGCTCCCAGGGTGCCAGCACCTTGTCCCCAGGTTGCAGCAAGTATTCTGTGGACGGCAAGAACTGAATGACATCTTCTCCTAAGACCACACTCGGCTGCTGGGCAGGGAGCTCCGGGCCTGTGACGAGGGGGTCCTCGAATTCCACAAGCAGGACCCCCTGCCTCTCCAGCTGTGGGAAGAAAACACTCAGGATGAGAACTGGGGCTCGGAAGGGCGACAGGGAGCATCACAACTCCCTGCAACCGTGCCCTGGAACCAGGCCACGGGCGTCCTCACAAACATTGAGGGCCACTCGGAGGAGGGACAGGCACTGCTCAGAGCCCATTGTAGCAGACTGGCGGGCCGTGGTGAGGACGCTCTTTCCTCTACCTCCTCTGGCCATGGGCGACTCTTGTTCCTCACGTCCTGTCTCTCCCTTCCCATTCTTTTCCTTTTCTCCTCTTCTCCTATTTCTATTTTTGTTCTGCAAACCCAGGGTCCTCTGAGTCTTTCCCCAGTGCACTCCCCCGGCTCCCAGCACTTCCAAGAAGTGTTGTCCCTGTGTCCAGGCCCAGCCAGCGATGGCGTCTTCACGCACCGGCCCACACGGGCAGGAGCGGCTGAGGAGCTAGGGCAGCCCTCTGCCCTGCGTCACACCAGTGAGGAAAGGGCAGAAGTGCTAATGCTAATTAAAAGTATAAGCTTTTCTGAGAGCTCAGTATGATTTTGAAAACAAGTAAATTCGGATTAATGAATCACTAGACAGAACGTATATTTCAGCAAAACTCCGCTGATATTTCATTTGAATTCACATATTAGTTACTTGAAAATGACCAAATGACTTTTGATTGGAAATTTTATCATTCATGTTTTTTTTTAGAATTCACACTTGTCTTTCCTCCATGGAGTCCCATTCCCAAAGCCTGGCTCTATAAAGAAGAGCAATATCCCGAAGCAAGCAGCCGCCTGAGTGGAAGCCGGGCCTGGCTCCTGAGCATGGGGACCCGTTCTTCTGCACGTGCGAGCACACGGGCGCACCCGTGGGCACATGCATTTGTTCCTGTGTCCCTGAGGCTGATGCCCAGAATTCCACACACGGAATTTTCCTGAACAAAGTACTTTTACAATACATTTCTGTTGCTATTTAAGTCACTCTGTTTGTACTGCTTTCTTACCCAACCCTAGTACACTGATGCACTCACGGACCCCACGTTTCCATTTGCACAGCCTGGCCACGGAAGATCTGTGGGTATCCAAGAAACTGAACCACCGGGCACACGCCGCTGAGGAATGCCGGGTATGACAGGGCCACCAGAGGAGTGTGCCCGGGGATGCGGGCAGTGAGGGACTCGCCTCGGGAGCAGGCTTTCTCTGAGCCCGGTAGTAAAAGCCATCTGGTTCCCTTTTCGCCAGGACCCATGTGTTAGCAGCATCTCCCACTCGCCCCAGCCAGCGGGGCCCCCGCCATGCTGGGTCAGCAACGTGGAGATAGGGTTGATAAGATGCACATCTGGGAAAAAGCAAACGGAATTAGGGTGTAGAGAAGACCCAGCCCTAAACACATCAAGAAACACATTTCACACATAGATTGGAGCAGCACGGTGGCATGCGTTATGACATACAATGCTAGGTGGGACAGAAAACCACATACAAAGCGCCCATCTCCAACTTCCAGATAAACCGTGGGACGGAGCAGAAGGAGGGAACAGCGGAGGGAACCATTGTTTGAGGGTTGGAAATTGTTTCAAGGTAATTAAAATGTGAGTAGCCTTGATATATTCAGGTTAATTAAAGTTGGTTCTGAGATTAGACAGCAAGCCAGAAAAGGATACCACGAAAGGTAAATCCTAAGTGAGTGTGTGGGATTCCAGGATGAGGTGTGGAGGTTTGGTTGGTACTGCCAAAGACGTGCATGTGTAAGAACGCTTGTCGCTGTGGGGTCAGAGGGAGGAGGAAGTGCTCGAGTAGGGGAGGCGCAGAGGAGCTGAAGAGAGGCTGCGGGGGCAGAAAAAAGGAGAAGCTGGTTCTGGGAATTTTGTGGACTCTGCTGAGCCAGGGAGGGAGGGATTGTTGAGTCAGAGTTTGGATTTCTGAAGAAGCTGTTTACTTTTGTGGGCAGGCCTGGCTATAGGAACGCTTAACTCAGGCTTTGAGTGAGAGGGCCCCCATAGGAGAATTAAGGAAGCACACTGCTTTCAAGCTGCCATGCCCATAACCTGGGCAGACTGAATTGAGGAGCCATCCCTGCGACTTATACAGCTAGTATGTGCTTATAGGTTGAGGGCCTTTCCCCTTTCGCAGGCACACATTAGACAGCTAACAGAGGATCTGATTCAGGAAAAGCCGGGAGACTGAGGGAATCTGGGGAGGAACCTGGAGACCTCACCTTAGCTCTTGGTTGCGGAAACCCTAGTATCTCACCAGAACAAGTCCCGTAGCTGACAGAACAGTGATCCAGAAACTTTATAAATGGAGCTGTCTCACTGCCTTTTCTCACAAGCCAACTCTGATAGGTGCCACTCTGCTATAAGGGGGGACAAAAGCTCGGCAACCCTCAAGGTCAATGGGAGCACAGTTTAGATTGGGGTCACGGAATGCCTTAAGCAAATCATAGCCCCCACAGTAAAGAACACTTTCGGCCTTCTCAGGAAGCAAGCTCTCTCCCTCACGGTACACTATGTAGAACCAAAGAACAGAGAGGAAAAAGGGATGTGCACCCCATTTCCTCCAGTGGGGCAGGGACCGGTACCTGGGGAGCGGGTGGTGCCAGGTGAGCCAGGGTGCCTGGAGAGCAAAGGGGCCGGTGAAGGCGAGGTCCCAGGGAGGAGCAGTGCCGGCCCAGGCGGGGACCTCCAGGGTGGTGGCCACGCTGCAGTATTTGGGCAAAGGCATCCCAGGCTCCACGGAGGATTCCATGGCCTTCGGAGAAACCGCCTGAGAACAAGCACCACCATTATCTGAGTTGCAGCCCGGCCGAGGGCACCAGGCTGGGGACGGGGCTCAGCTTGGTGGTCAGTGGCCTCTCGGGGGCCCCCCTTGCTCCCACAGATGCTCGGGGTGTCTTCTGAACCACCTGCCTCGGGCACCTCGGTTCAGGAAAGGGTAGAAGGAGCAGGAGCTGTGATGGTAGAGAAACCCGCTTTAAACCCTCACAGCCTGCGGGCTGCGTGCTCATTTCACCTCTGCGCCTTAGGGACTACTCAGGAGGTGATGTATGGAAAGCACCTGGCGTATAAGTAGCTCAATATATATGTTAGTTTTCTCCTCCTTCCTTCTCCCCAGTGGTAGGACTTCTGTGGGGGAGGAGGAGGGAAGACCCTGCTTCACTTCACAAATTCTAACCCTGGTGACACACTGACCCCCTAGCCCAGCCACAGGCCCCCGTTAACCCGGTCATTTATAGGGCCGACTCAGGCCCAGTGCAAGTCCCAGGGCTGTGACCTCCACAGACCTGTTCAGAGGCAACAGCTGCGACCCAGGGCCCAAGACCACACTCTGCTGCCGCAGCCTTGTCAGGGTCGGCCCGTGCCCAAGTCTGCAGGTCTGAACCCGGGGGCACTTACCCACAGCCCCAGCCTCCTCCACCTCGGCCTCGGCCCTTTTGACAGTTGGGGCTCAGGGCCTCAGCCCAACTGACTCCCGGTTGCCAAGCAGGTTGCCATGGATGTGAGCCAGAAGGAACACTGTGTACTGAGCATGTGCAAAGTGGGGCCAGGGGGCCTTGGGAGGCATGGGCGGGGTGAGGGTGCAGGGGGTTATTCTTTATCTTTAAAGAGGAGGATATTGGAGAGAAAGGTCATGGTAGCTTCAATTCCCAAAAGCCCAGGCTTCCTCCTTGCCGGAGGACACAGTCATGGTGGGAAGCCCTCACGGATCCCAGGGGAGCCCTAAAGGCGCCAGACTGTTCATCTGCCTCCACCTTGAGCAAGCAGGAGGCTGGGGTGGGGGGAGCCACTGGCTGGACTAGGGACTCTAACATAGAATTTGTTGGTTTTTATAACAAAATAACCAAAGGTGTGGGCATGTTTGTTTGTAACAGACAGGACTCTGCTGAGAAGCAGGGGTGTGGTAACCACTTGGGGTGGTGGGAGTGGCAGTGGGGACCAAAGGAGCAGAAGTCTAGTTTCTGCTCTTATTTGAACATCCATGGGAGAAGCTGGCCTGGAAGCCTCTGGCAGTCATTGAGCACCGGTTGTGTGCCCAGCAGCGTTCAGTGGAAAATAGCAAAACAGTGTGCAGGGACGTTCGTAGGTGTCTCTCCCATGTCACTGTTCCCCTGTACCACCAGGGCCTGTTTCTATTTGAGGACCCACATGGTCCGGAGAGGCTGAAGCTACCCCCGCCCCACAGGTGGAGCATGTGTCAATCAGGATGGGTACCCGAGACGCTCCAGACTTCGGTTGGGAATCCTGGGCTACAGATTTTGTCTTTCCTCCTGTCCACAATAAGAAAGTATGTGGCTCTGGGCGCCGCTGACAGCCTTTGGGGGACACTGACACTATCCCCAGAGGAGGATACAGAGGATAGACCTAAAGAAAACAGGTTCTTGGTGACGGCGTGGAGCCCTGTGAAGACAGCCCAACGGCAGTTGTGTGAGCCTTTATTGATTATACCAATTTGGATTGGACTTTCTCTTACAGCCAAGTGTCTCGCCTGATGACTGCTCTCCTACCTAACGGCTGAGTTTTTTGCTGCACAAAGTTAGAGTCCAAGAAAAACCAGTGACATCTCTGGCAGCGAGAGAAGGATTCCTGAATGAGACAGGCAGCATTTCAATAGCAGAGAGAACGAGGAGAACATTCCAGGTTAAGTAGGAAGCAAGAGCTCAGAGAGGACGTATTTGCAAGACCATGCTTCTTTTCTGGGCGGTGGGGGGAATGTGTTTCAGGGGGAAATCAAGGTGTGGATATTTGGGAAGGGGGCAGACTGGCGGGAGCTTTGAAAACCAAGCAGATACATGTAAACAATGTGGTAGTCAAAGGTAGTTGTCTTGGGGTCTGAGCAACAAAGTGACATGAAATGCTTTAAGAAAGAATCTCAATGTGAGGATGGGGTCAGTTGAGAACAGAGCCTGGGAGGCCAAGGCAGAGGTTGTTAACAGCTACCCAGACATGTGGCAAGACTGGAAAACAGTAACACCAAACATTTACTGACAATGCCTACCCCAAAAGGGGCTCTTTAAGGGCGCTAAGAGTACAGGATGAATAACACTGGTCCCTATTTTCAAGGAGCTTACAGTCTACTGAAGAAGGCAGGGAGCTGTGTAATACAGCGTATAAAGATAGCACGATAGAAGTTGCATGAAAATATGTATACAAAACAAAAAAGCAAGCAATGGCTGGGATGGGAAGACTTCATAGAGAAATGACAGTGGAGATGAGCTGTGACCATGTAGGGAAGTCTCCACTGCGCTTGGCGACAGATGGGACCTGGGAGTTAAGGGAGAAGGAAGAGCTGAAGCGAGTCAGGGGGACAGAAATAGACATTTTGAAGGCAGACTCCAAGATGCAGGGACTGCGCCCCCTGGGGTGAAGGCAGCTGCACATTTTCTGGCTTAGAAAGCCTAGAGAACGATGATGTTACAGACAAAACAAGAGAAGGATAATAATAATTATAATAATAAAGGTTATAAATGCTTTTTATGTGCCAGGAACTATTAATCTGCTAATCCTCATAATAAACATACGGGGTCGTTGCTCTTCTTATTATTCTCATCTGTGGATGAAGAACTGAGACATGGAGAGAAAGTAGCAGAGTCACGGTCTAAACGCCGGCCGTCCGATTTCAGAGCTCACCCTCTTAACTCTATACTAAGCTGCCTAAGGAAGTCTTCTGTATGCGGGGAAAAAAATGACTGAAATAATTTCAAACAATAAGGTTTTGTTAACTACTTTCGCCTCAGCTCTGAAACACTTGCCCATCATGACGTGGGTAAGGCATAGATTTATTGTCAACCCCAAATAATAAAAAACACCAAACTTTGACAAATCAAGAAAGGTTCATTGTGTTTGCTTTGCACGAGGTGCCTGCAAAGGGCATTACAAGCATTCAGTAATCATTAGTCACGCAATACTTTTGTGCGAGTTTCTTACAGCTGAGACTCTGCGGAAGGGTATGAGAAGGGCAAGGGGTGAGGTATAGAGGATCCTGGGACTCCTGCTCCCCTAAAGTGCTTGAAAGAAATCACCAAAGCTTAAGGAACATCTCAATCTACAGAAGAGAATGTCTGAAATCCAGGTAATAAATATCCAACATAGGTTAGCCCCTAAGCCACTATCTGCCCACACAGAAATTACATTTAGGAAAGACTATTGCATCATGCTCCAAAAGACCCCATTTTGTGATATTATTTGTTTCTGTTAGGAAACACTAAGTCAAATAATTCTAAAAATGGGGTCAGTTTGGTGGCTGGTGGCTGCTGTTACAGTGGAACCTTTCCCGGGGTTATTCTTGGTTTCGGCCTTATCAGGGTACAGAAGAGATCGCAGGTAAGTAATGTACTTGATTGCAGCTCTGAGGGTTTCCACTTTGCTGAGTCGTTTCTCCAAGTACTCCTCTGGCAGATGGTTTCGGAGCTGGGCGTAGCCTTCGTTGACACACTTCACCCTCTGCCTTTCCCGTTCATTCCTTTTCCGGATAAAGGCAGGCCCATAGGAGCAGTCGCCCCTTCTGTAATTTGCATAGGGCATTGGGAAGGAGAGGGAGCAGGTTTCAGAGTAATTTTCCATGATCAGGGAATCTCTGGAAAAGGGCCGCAACGGCAGGTCTTCAGAGTAAGGGGATGACACCGGGGCTTCAGGGTACAAGTGGAAAGTGACCATGGGGTCCAGATAGAAGGCCCTGGTCAGTGGCAAGTGGGCAGAATCAGAGAAGACAGGCAGTTTTTCTGGCAGATTACAGTAGCTTCTATTGTCCATCACTTCCTCGTTAGCCTGGAAACATAACCAAGTTTATTAATTTGGCCAAATCAAAGGAGAGCAGATACCAATTTTCTCAGAGACCAATGTTTTAAAGACTTTGCCGCTTTGATGTATAGTTTCTGAGCTCAAACTGGATGGGGTTACAATATTCTGTTGGTAGTAAGAGAGAGGATGTTTGATGATACACAGAAGCAGCATTCAATAACATTGACTCGCCTCGTGAGAAAGTTGCTGCCTTTCAATTCTCTTTCAGTTCCAATGATTACGAAGATGCAGCTTTGGTCTGGTGAGAGTGTGTCTTGCACACTACCAGAGAGCCTTCTAATCCTCCTCAGACGGAAGCCTTCAACAAGCAATGCTGTCTAGCTAGAGTTTAATAATATTTTACTTTTAATTTCTATTCATTGTGAATTATACTGATTTCACATTTATAGTATGATACAAAGTTTATTTAAAAAACTAAAATCTACTTGAGTAACAAATATGAATGGAAGAGAAATGGCAAGTCAATAACGGCATAGACGGGGCTCAGAGAAGGACTGGGAAGGTGCATGCACAGGGCTGCGGCTTGGGAAAGAGCAATGCCACAGTATTGAAACACACGTTGGAGGAATTACAAACTCGTTGTGCCCCTGCAGCCTCATCACAGGCACAGCGTTTTAAATAACACCTAAGATGCCAGAGGCAAATCTGAAACTAAAAATAAAAAAGGAAACATTTACTCTTAAAAATTCAGAGTCCTTTACATGAAAAACTCTCCTAACACATTTAAAACATAGATTTACAGATATTCACTTACATAGAACTTTAAGACTCTTGAGTGAAGTGCATCTGTATTTAAGTTTTGTCTTTTAAAAAATGGAACAGGAGGATAAAGTATTATACCCCAAGAGGTCCCACATCAACACATTTCCTCTCATAGGTCTGCAGCCACCTCATTGATTCACCCACCATTACTTTTGCCTTCAACTATAACAATGTAACCACAACAGATTTTACAGGGATATTGCAGTTTAACCAGTTAACTGGAAGCCAGAGTAATGTTGTAGGAAAAGAGCATTTTTCTTTCAGTTATAATGCCCTCAAGTTTCAATCTTGGCTTTGCCCCTTCCCAGCTGTGTGTCCTCAGACAAGTTTTGTAATCTCCCTGGGCTTCAGCTTTTTCCTATGACCAACTGAGATATTAACTATTCTGCAGAGTGATGATGAGGATTAAATGAAAAATATATATACAATGTACTAGGCATTTGTTCTTTGCCTTTTTCTTTATTAACAGATGAATGTACAGCATTCCCTTCTAAACTGCACCTTACAGAAAACCTGGTTTATGTTTTTCCTAACAGCAGAAAATCAAACATTGATATATCCAAAGCGTGTTGGCTGAGAGATGAAGAACATACCAAAAAATGGAAAAAGAAAAGCAACATGAAATCTAATGGTGGGTCTCCAGAAAAGAAGAAAATATGGCTTTCTGTTCATTTCTGGGGGGTGTGATTTTTCAACATCTTTAGGAAAGGTTGTTCTCTATGCTTGGCATATGTAAAGAAAAAGAGCCCTTGTCCCCAAAGCCGCCCCCCCTCAACCAATCCCTAATGCTTAAGGGCAGGATTAGATAACACTATTACTTGTTTCTCTTTCTGAGCAGAGTAAAAACTCTGCAAGCTGCACTATGTATGTGCACAACAGCTGCTAAGCACCAGAATTCAAGTGCAATCAAGTATATTACAATTTTTATGAAAAAGTCTATCCTGTCTAATAGGGAAAGACAAGTGACTATGGGAACAGAAAGGGCAATAGGGGATGGGCACAGGGGATGAAGGGCGGGAAGGGTTATAAGAAGTCATGGTGAAACAAGCTGGAAACGGAGTAAATGCCAGGAAAAACTGTTCCTTGTGGGAGGGGGGAGGGGAGTAGAGGAATGAGATAAGTGCGATAGGCCCAATGAAAAAAAAATCAAAACAAAGGAACAGGAAGTGGAAGATTCCAAATTACTGGACTAAATGGCCTGAGATAACTAACATAAAACAAAAATCTCTGGAAGATTAAAAACTAGCCAAGATTGTGTCAAAAGAAAATTGCTGAGAGAAAAAAGAGTTAGGAAATCCCCAAGCCAGAGATTCTAGAGGGTAGATAAGGAACACGCATGGAGCCCACATTCCTACATCTCTGAGAACAGCAGCGCCTTATTTTTGCCTATGGCTGACAAGCCAGAAGTGATATAACAGGATACCAACTCGAGACAGATGTCATCAAAGCCAATTTCACACAAAAATTCTTTGGGTACAGTTTTATTCTGATAGATCATTTTGATACTCTCTTAAATGTTGACTCAGATGAAATCTGAATAATTTGTATATGCCACAGAAAATTAAAAGTTTCTAGGCTTTAACAAGACTTTGCATTATTCTTGGAAGAAGAGCCTGGTGTCTCTGGAGACACACTGATGAGAAGCCTTTTCTATTGAGCGTTTTCAAAAAAGTTGACTAATCACTGTGGTAGCATTTAAATATGATCATCTTTTATTCCAATAAGAAAATTTAACCACAACAGAGTAATAGAATGAAAAATGCAGTAACGAAGATCAAGGTGGGAAGTCCAGTGGAGGCTGGACATGTTTGCAGAAACTGAGCACAAATTTTTAAAAAGAAAGCAGCACAGATGACCGGTGCTGGGGTTCGGCAGTTCCCGAGACAGGCACAGCTAACAAATTCACCTGTCTTGGAAAAGTCTCAGGTTTCTGCCCTAGAGCTCTGCTGGGAAAGCAATGAGGTCTTAATGATTAAATCCTAAATAGATTTTGGATGCTCTGCTGAGCCTAAAAGCTTCAGCTTTCAGAGACATCAAATATACCTAGCATGTAAAAAACAAAGCTACAACTACACATAGAACTGAATTTTAGAATGTTAGGGATGGAAGGAACCTTAGAAATCCTCTTACCCAGTCTGCCAGAGGTTGTAGCTGGGTTCAGGCTGCAGAGCTGGTTGCAGAGCAGGGGTCAGAACCTAGGTCTCCTGACTTCCAAACCCAAACCTCTTCCGCTGCTCTAGATGATTTAGCCACCAGCAAAATCTGAATCTCCTGACATATAGGCATAGTCATAGGCCATAGTCTTAGGCAAGGTCATAGGCATAATCGATAGTTAAGATAATGAAATGATCAGAGAGCTGAAAAAATTCATCATTTATCCACTGTGCCTAGGAATTTTCCTATAAATCATATTCTTATTCTCCCCATGGACCACTCTGGGGAAGAGTCTCTTACCTGAGTTTTGTCACCAAGACGCTGTATTTTGGCTTCAGTCAGACTTAGCCTCATTTACAGGTGATCATTTAGTAACAATATGCAAAATAGCTGACAGTGAAACAGAACTGCTCCGTTCTGGTTTAGCTGTTTTTTTCTACATAACATGTAGATATGACAACACACAACAATCCTAAGTAGAAAGGTTTGCTTACAAAACTGGACTCTTGTAACAAAGTCTTTTGTAAAAAGAACGCTCCCCATACATCTGGGTTATATGATTTTATATAAAAATTATTCACAAAAATATCTTTTAAGTAATAATCTCATAATGTGCCAATATTGGTTAATATTCTTTTAAATGGAGATTAAGACCATAACCAGGAAGGTCAATATGAACCTGCAGTTTATTAAGATAACTATTAAATTTTTGCCCTTCTAAATAGACTGTATTTTTTCAGAGCAATTTTAGATGTACAGCAAAATTGAGCAGAAAATACAAGAGAGTTCCACTCAGCTCCTGCCCCTACACACACATCCTTCCTCACTACCAACATCCCACCCCAAATATATGTTAAAATTGATGAGCCCATATTGACACATCATTATCACTCAAAGCCCAGCGTTTACATAGGGTTCACTCTCAGTGTTGCACATTCTGTGAATTTTGACAGTTATAAGGATATGTACCACCACTATAGGATCATACAGAATAGTCTCACTGCTCTACAAAGCCTCTGTGCTGCACCTGTTCATCCCTCCCGCTCCCCAATACCTCACAAACTAATTTTTTTTTTACTGCCTCCACAGTTTTGCCTTTTCCAGAATATCATATAGTTGGAGTCATACAGTATGTAGCCTTTCACATTGGCTTCTTACTTAGTTAATACGCATTTAAGAGTTCTCTGGATTTTTTTTTAAAGGCTTGATAGATCATTTCTTTTTGGTGCCTAATATTCTCCTGTCTGGATATACTCTACTTAACCATTCCCTTACTGAAGGACATCTTGGTTGCTTCCAAGTTTTGGCAATTACAAGTAAAGCTGCTATAAACACTCATCTGCAGGTTTTTCTGTGGCTATTAGATTTCAACTTATTTAGGTAAATACCAACGAGTGTGATTGCTGGATCTTATAGTAAAGGTATGTTCAGTTTTTAAAGAAAATGTCAAACTATTTTCCAGAGTGGCTGTACCATTTTGCATTTCTTCAGCACTGAATGAGAGCTCCTGTTGCACCAGCATTTGATGTTATCAGAGTTTTGGATTTTGGTCATTCTGATAGGTGTTTAGTGGTATCTTGTTTTAATTTGCATTCCCTTGATAAATATGATGTGGAGTATCTTTTCACATGCTTATTTGCTATCTGTGTATCTTCTTTGATAGGGCATCTGTTCAGGTCTTTGGATCTTTTGTTAATCAAGTTGTCTTCTTGTTGAGTTTTGAGTTCTATGTATATTTTGGGTAATAGTACTTTATCAGATGTCTTTTGCAAACATTTTCTCCTAGTCTGTGACCTGTTGTCTCATTCTCTTGACAATATCTTTCAGAGCACAAGTTTTTAATTTCAATGAAATCCAGCTTATCAATTATTTATTTCATGATTTGTGCTTTTAGTGTTTTATCTGAAAAGTCATTGCAAAACACGGATTTTCTCCTATGTAATCTTATAGGTGTTTATAGTTTTGTTTTACATTTATGTCTGTGATCCATTTTGAGTTAATATTTTGGAAGGTGTAAGATCTATGTCTAGCTTCATTTTTTTTTTTTTTGCACATGGATGTCCAATTGTTCCAACATCATTTGTTGAAAAAATTTTCTCCATTGTATTGCCTTTCTTTGTCAAAGATCAGTTGACTATATTTCTGTGGCTCTATTCTGTTTTATTGATCTATTTGTCTACTATTCTGCAAGTACCACAATGACACTGACTTGATTACTAGTTTTGTATTGTCTTCAAGTGTCAGTGCTCTGAATTTTTACTTCTCCATTAATATTATGTTGGCTTTTCTGTGTCTTTTGTCTTTTGACGTAAGCTTTAGAATCAGCTTGTTGAAATACAGAAAATAACTTGTTGGGGTTTTGGGGGGGATTGTGTTGAATCTATAGATCAAATGGAGAACTGACATCTTAACAGAATTGAGTCTTCCTAACCATGGACGTGGAATCTCTCTCCATTTATTTAGTTCTTCTTTGACTTCTTTTCATCAGTTTTGTAGTTTTCATCATACATATTTTGTAGCTATTTTGTTAGATTTATACCTATTTCATTTAGGGGGCTGGTATTGGTAAATGGTATTGTTTTTAATTTCATTTGTTCATTGTTAGTCTATAGGAGGGCAATTCTCTTTTGAATATTAGCTTTCTATCCTGCAACCTTTTTATAATCATTATTTCCAGGAGGGTTTTTTTTTGTTTTTGTTTTGTGATTCTTTTGGATTTTATAGATGATTATTTTATCTGAAAGAAAATTTTCTGGGGAGGAGGAGGGAGAGAGTCAGGCCCAGGGGGCTGTAGCTCTGCTGTACACCTGATCCCCTGGAAAGAGGAGACATTGCGATGTGATTTTGCCTAGATCACAACACTGACAACTCACTGAGGGAGGAGCTGGGGGAGCAGGGCCAACGGTGTGGTTTACACCACCTTTCGGCTTGGGGGAAGGTCAGCATTTTGTTTTTGTTCCACTAATGCTGCTCAGAACCACACCCCAGGTAATGGTGGTAAACGTTTCACACCTTGAAAATGTAGAAAACAACCTTTCCTACTTTTATTTTTCATTAAATCTTGAAAAAAAAGACAACTTTATTTCTTCCTTCCCAATCTGTATGTATACCTTTTATTTCTCGTCTATTGCATTAGCTAGGATTGGCTATGATGCTGAAAAGAAGCAGTGAGGACGCCTTGCCTTGCCCCTCATCTTAGCAGGAATGCTTTTAGTTTTTCACCATTAAGTGTGTTAGCTATGGCTTTTTGTAGATATTCCTTATCGAGTTGAGGAAGTCCTCTTCTATTCCTAGTTTACTGTGAATTTTTCATAAATGGGTGTTGAATTTCCAAATGCTTTTTCTGCTTCTGTTGATAGGATCATTTCATTTTTCTTCTCTAGTCTGTGGATGTGATAGGTTTTATTAATTGGTCTTCAAATATTTAACCAGTCTTGAATCCCTGGCATAAATTTCACTCAGTTGTAGTTGAACTTAGACATCTTTAAATACTCACAATAAAATCAATAATTTTAGGTTTTGTAGGTCTGAAACACTGCTTTTTACTAACCAAAAAACCCATAAATAGCTCCAAAAATGTTGTATTTATGCATTCAATATAATTCTAATTTCTGCCAAGAATTTCTTAGAACACTTGCTCATACATTTCAAACCTCCCAATTTATCAAAACGGTATTTGTATCCTTTCAGAGCCCCGTCTTAGTGCCCACACATTCTCTCCCCGCCCTCTCGGCACACGCCCTCTCACACACAACTGGGTACCAGTGTTTTGTGATTAGACTGGTCTCAAACGGTAGTCTGACAACAGGGTTCAAAATGCCTTTCCATCTTTAAATTCATCATAGAGCAAAAGAGGGAGGAGAGAAAAGTTAAGAGACATAGATATACTGGTAGGTGTTTCAAAAATTATTTTTATTGTTCCATTCCAAGGTTTTGACACAGGAAGAAAAAGCCAGTTATCCAATGACTGTTACACCTTTCAGAGGGAGGCACAGAGAACACGAGTACCCATTCAAAGCTCCACACACTGGAGCTCAAATGGCTCTCTCTCAACCTGCCCAGAAATGCTGATAAATTATGTATATGCCATCAATTCAGCAAGGCTTGGGCTTAAAAGAAAGTTTCTTTATTGCAAGTATCCAAGTCCTTAGGATTCATCCTTAAAGATAGGAGGGGATGAGAAAGACAACACATGCCAAGACTATTGTTAGTCATTAAAGTAGCAAATAGCCAGTTTATTCCAGGATGCATTGCATCACACATCACAGTACTTAAAGAAAATTTGCATTTTGTGAGAAGCCACCAGACATTTCAGATCTAGTTTACCATGAAGTGTACCACACACCAACCAGATACCAAGATAACACAGTCAGTGCAAAATTCAAAAGGGGTAAGTCAGGGCTTTGATGAGGCTGGCTACACTGCAAAATGTAAATGAAACTTGAAAATATAAGGTAAAGTCTATTTACAAAAGTTTTTTTTTAGTAAAGTGACTTGAGAAAAGTTTTATTAAGCAGTTCCCACATACCCCTTTCCTCCCCTGCCAAAAACAAAACAAAAAAAAAACAACGAACACACACCTGGAAATTATCTTGAAAACCAAGTTAAAACTGTGTAGTGAAAAAGAATATTTATTCTAGGTGAAGGACTTCAAGATAACTTACAAGAAGACTTATTTTCACTTGTAAAAGTCACAAATAGGAAAAGGTTTATTGGCTGACTTGGTGTGTGCTTTAAAAAAAAGTCTCTTAATATGTTAACAACAAAGGAAAATACCAAGCACACTTTTATTTCAGGTTTTGAATTTTCCAGCAAGAGTTGGCGAAATTAACAGGGTATAAAACAAAACCCAGGAAAACTCAGTCAATTTTTTCCAGTTGTCGGCCTTGTTGCTTTCTAGTTCCCTTGAATTTGATTCTCAATTAGCTGAGGACAACATGACGGTCAAAAACAGATTTTCGCTGTTCTTGAACTTGAAGCTTCCAACGCTGCTGGGCATACTCGACCTTATTCAGCACATTGGCTCGACTGCGGGAGTGGGCCAGCACATCATGGGCATTTGCAAAAGGCTGGTGATCCTGAAAGTCCCAAGAACGGAGAACATAAGAGATGGCATACTCAGTGTAAAACATACACACACAACAGCAGTTATCCAACCACAGAGACAGAAGCAGAGGGACTTTTCAAAGAGCAGAAAAATCTATTTGTCCACGCACTGCCAGAAGTAGGATGAACTCAAGTTGCAGAAAGAGGTAATTCAAGTGGTGTAAGGGATGAACAGGTATTTATGTAATTTTCCCATCAATTGCCATTTCCAAAGACATTTCCCTTAAGGAGTAGGGACCAAAGATAAAGACACTGGTCATTTATGTTAAAGAAAGCTTCCCTAACCGGTAGGGGAGAGAGATCTATTTTCATGTTAATACCTATATGCTACAGACACAGAAGGTAGGACTTCTCCTTGCTTTATTCAATACTATATAGCTAATCTATGGCAGAGGAAAGACCTGTCTTGTAATTACCTGACTCCCTTTATGTTAGAATTGTTACTTTTCAGTTTGGGGCCACATTCACCCTGGGAAATGAGTTGACAGGATCCTATCTTGGTTGATTTTAATCTCTCCCTGCACCCTCAACACATACACCTAATGGACTGGTTTACCCCTTCCCTAATCTGTAATGAAAAGCGACACAACTCATATCCTAAAATTACCCTCTATTACCAAGGACAGTATGGAATGATTACTTCAGAATTTCTATTTGATAAAGATTTGAATCTTTCAATGCCGAGCATCCAGTCACTTAGTTGCTGCCTCAGGAAAGAGGCTATTGAAGGTTTACCCAGGTATCTGTGCAGAAAACCAACCTATCCTGGTCAAAGTAAACCATGGCCCCTGATGTTTGTGGTCATTACACAGGAGAGCTAATCTGTCTATGAATGAGATATAAACACAGCTGTCTAAATGACAAAAGGCATTCAAAACTAATTTACCTGCCCCTTCCTTGATCTCTTTTTCCCAAGCCCTGGTTTAGCAAAGCTTATAAATGTTCCAACACAGGGTCCAAGGCATAAGTTGTACCTCTTAAACTTTGCCTTGAGTAAAGAAACAACATTGTTTTGCTGTGCGTGTTTGCAAAAGCTCTATTATATATCCGGGGCAGGAGTCAGCATGTCTATAGGAAGCTACATGCAACCATATAACTATACACAACTATAACCATGTGGTGTTATAACACCTGGTCTTTTTATACCAAGACATGTACGTAATTACATCAAAAAGTTTTCTATAAAGGATCTTTTCCTGCCTCCTTTACCAAAATTCCCTCAACTTTTCACTTTATTTAGCTAACAGCTGTGCAAACCCCATTAATTTTTTTAAATTTTTAATCTTCAAATGAAAATAATAACAACTTCATAAAGTTAAAAATGTATCGAAGACATAAGAAATAAGGTTAGGAAAGAGGAAGGCTGAATTTGTTGGCTTCCTTGATTTCCCACAAGGAAATAAACCGATCCAAGGTCATCTAACAAACTGGCACAAACACCTAGACTTAGTTCACCTAACCTTGACTTGGTGTCACTGTCTAAACATACTGACTTTGTTCAGGTAGATTAAAATGACACTATAGGAATATGGTGATGAACTTGTATGTAAAATATTATTACCATTGGTTTGTTTTGATATAAACAAGACTGGAAAGAAGGATGTACTTTTATCAGCAGAGCACCTCTCAATTTCATAGTCCTGCTATATCTATTCTTCAAGGTGGGGGAAGAAAAATCTTCTTAAGGAACAAAGTTAAAGGTCTAAACAAATGAGTAATCCTTTTGGCCCTCCACCTATCAGAACAGGATTGAACTAGTTGCTCATGGTCCTGAATGCTGGAAGAATGGAAATAGAGAGGTACCCTTTTTATGTTTGTTCTTTTTACACCTGATAAAATTACAATAAATACAAAACATGTTTTAATGTAATGCTTTGATAATAGCAATGATGTGTCAAGGATATATAATACAGTAAATACTGTGACTGCTTACAGTGAGCTTCTTAACTATTTGTACAAACTCTCACTTGATTTAAAATGGTCTACACTGAACAAAAATTTAAAAAATCAAAACAATTTCACTTAAAATTTAACAAAAGCATTTTTAAAAGTACATAAATAGTAAAGAATTCTCATCTTGGGTAAGCAACAACTGTAGAAATTGAAGTATTACTTCTTTTTATACAGAATTATTGCCATAAATGCACAGCCCTGGTCTGAAAACCTCTCTCTGCCCACAATCAGTTCAACAGATATCCAAGGTTCAGCCAGGCCTCTCAAAAACAATGTTCTCAGATGGTCAACTTACACACAGAATCAATCACTGGTGAACGAAAAGGTTATTAAGCACATGATCCCACCAATCAAATACTTTTCCTATGTGTTTTTGTCTATACATTTCTGAATCCATTTCTTTTATGTTACTTGTGTATTACATTGATATTATCTATTCTGAAAATCAGGAACCAAATATTTAATGCTGTAAGTGATGTAGTTTAAGTCAGACTTTTTATCTATGTGCCTTAGAATGAAAAGGTTTATATCGTCTTTGACACAACATTTTTGTATGTTAGTTGTTCTCAACTACAGGTGATTTTCCTCCCCAGGAACATCTGACAATGTCTGTAGACATTTTTGATTGTCACGATTGGGATGAAGATGCTATTGACATCTAGTGGGTAGAAGGCAGGGATGCTGCTAAATACCTTACAATGAACATGGCAGCCCCCTACAGCAAAGACTTATCCAACCCAAAATGTCAACACTGTACTTACTCACTATGTATTGGATAAACGTATAAAAGAAACAAGGGAAAAAGAGGTAAACAGAGGTGCTTCTATGAAAGCTCTTGGCAAAACAAAAATAAAATCTTCCCTGAATAAGTTGAATATTCATCATTGATACTCATGAGACAACAATGTATTGATCAAAAAGTAGCCTCCAGTTGTAGTTATAAGTCACACCATCCATCAGGATCCCCTTTGCTATCTTTTACCAAAAGTTCCACAGGCCATTTAAGAGTAAAAGGACTTCTGACTGTGGTTAGCAAGGGCTCACCCTGGCTTTTGCTTTTGGAACTGGTTCTTGAAACTCAGCTGAATTTTATCCACTTTGAGGAACACAGTATAATAAAGTAATCCAAACTAAAAAGTAATTTCTAAAAAATTATATATATATAGCCCTGGCTGGTGTGGCTCAGTGGACTGAGCATCAGCCTGTGAACTGAAGGGTCGCTGGTTCCATTCCTGGTTAAAGCACATGCCTGGGTTGCAGGCTGGGTCCCCAGCTGGGGGCGTGCAAGAGGCAACCGATCGATATATCTCTCGCACATCAGCATTTTCTCCCTCTGCTTCCTTTCCCCTCTCTCTAAAAATGAATAAATAAAGTCTTTTTAAAAAAATTATATATCTAATGAAAATAGGAAAACAAGCCCAAAAGGATAATAACAAAACAAACAATATATTTCTCTATGCTAAACTGAATGAGAAGTTTGTGTACTACATCAATTTCTGGACATTTCTGAATGACGTAATGTTAACACAAAAAGCAGACCACAAAACAATTTATACACTGATTATACCAACTATATGTAAAAACACAAATGTGTTTTAAAGATAGGAAGAGAATCTGGAATGACAGTTTTATTTTTCTCTGGAGTTCAAGATCACAGATTTTTTTAAAAGACGGATAATGGGATACATAAAACATCAGGAGGATATCAAGCTGCACTTCATTAAGAAAAGAACAGTACGGTCTTCATGCTTCTTTTCACTAAAGCCTCTTATCTCCTAAGATATTTGCTGATGCTGACAAGATAGGTGTTCAGGCAGAAGCTTGGGGAGAAAACTATCTCAGATGCTTTTCTCAGTGTCAACAGGGAAAGGCAATGAAATTGTGCCCTGGGTACTGAAGAGTAAGGCCTTGTATAACACACTCACTATGGGTCATCAGTTTAAACCACCATATTTATGGCTTTATAAAGCAATTTCCTCATAAAGAGATAAATGCTAAATTTAGAATTGTCTTTAGCCTCTCCCATTGACTACCTGCCCCAGCACATGAACACCTATCTATATGGTATCACAATGACGACAGAAGCCATCATCATGTGCGGCCAGGGCATGCTGAGAACTTACCCCGACGTCGTCATCGCTCTGTATTAACTGTGAGTGTCCAAACAGGCGTCTCTTCAGTATGGGCTCAACCAGAGTAAGGTACACCATGTACAGAAGTAGAAGGCCCAAAATGGACAGATAAATTATAATGGTAACCTAAAGGAAATTGAAAATTAAGTTACATCTCTGTTCAAGCCAAGAAATCAGAATTTTATATAAGAATAGTAAAGCCATAGTGAAGACTGATCTACCTGCTAAGTGAAAAGAAAAAAAAAGGAAAGAAAGCATTTGTCTTTGGGATCTTTTTGTGAGTCTTCAGGACTCCATTTTCACTTACTGCTAATCATTTGCCACTCATAGCACCTGAATACAATGTCCTAGTGCTGTGAAGACAACATAAAGAAACCCTAACAGAAAATGTAACGCAGACAATTTCAACATAATACTGTTTTAGATCAATTTAGATGTACAAAAATGTTATAGGCCAGTGATTTTCTTGAGATCTTAATTCATGTGCTGACAGGGTCAGCCGCAACAGAAATCTCTGTACCTGTTATAGCCAGCCAACCCGGATTCCCCAGGAGGCCTCTTTTTGGGAAAGAAATAGGAAGGAAGCTCCATATAAAAAACAAATTGGGGAAAAGAAACATAATAAAGTAATTGAACTCATTAGAGGTCAAAATGGTGATCAAAATGATCTACCTTCCATTTCCTACAGCATATAAAGGAAATCTTAAAATCCAGAAGTGATGTTTCTAGAATAGAAGAGTCACTATGTAAATATATAATTTTTTCTTATATAATTTTTTCTAAGGACTGGGAGGGTAGGAAGAGGGCCCAATCATGCTGTTCTCGCTATCCTCTGGCATACATGACCCACGGAGGAGATGGGATATTTTCTGGGACATGCTAATTACATAGGGCATTTTTGTCCTATTCATTCATACCTATCTAACTTATCTTGATCAATGCATAAAGCATCTCAATGAGACAGGCAGAGAGCAGGCCCATTGTTTCTTGTGGGGTAGGGGTTGGAGGTGAGAAAGAAGGGGGGAAAAGGGGTGGCGGGGAAGAGCAGTAGTTTAAATAACTAAAATAGAATTCATATGTCCAAAATTTTCTTTCTTGTCTCAATGCGATTAAGAACTATTCCAGAAACAGAAAAAATTGATTTTTTTTTTTTACCTTGATTGTTACAGAGCTTCTTTCCTCATATTTGCATTCACAGCGTAGACAGTACGCTTCTATGTCAGGCTCCCGCACAGACATGAGCTCTACAACATGAAGGCAGTCGCTGAAAAAAAGAAAGATAAAATACTGCTTGAGTCTAACTGGATTTTCTACTCGTACTAATCAAAACTTATTTGAAATCTAGAGTAATTCTTGAACTTACCCAATGATAGAATATACAGAAAAAATAAGGGAAGTAAAACCATTTTCTCACTTCATATCAGCAATTTAGTAAGATTTAAGAGTCTAAGAAACTATGAAGACACATGTGTAGGAACTATTTTCAAAGGTGCTACTGTTTAAAATGTACCAGAAAAATCCAAAGTGGAATCAAAAACTACTCCGCAGATCAAGTCATACTCCAATTTGTTCAGTTACCAAGCAAAATTACTTTAAATGATTTAAAGTGACCTGGGGCATTGTTCAAATATGAGATTATCTCTTTTATGAATTAACTAACGTCATTGTTAATTGCCACAGTGTGGTACATGAATGGCTAATCATACTCAGCAGTTGGTAAGTTCTGAAACTCTGAAATCTGAACATTCTACAGTAAAAAACAATTACTTGTTTTAATGAGCAAAAGACTATTGAAAAGCATAGAGAAGGAGGATTAGGACAACAAAAATATTTTTAAATGGAAATTGATTACTTGGAAGAAGTAAGAGGTCTGTCCAGAAGGTACCAGCCATTATATGGAAAATAGAAACATTTATTGAAGAAGATACAAGACATAAGAAACATTGTACATAGACAATGAAGCTTCAGTCCCCTTCAAAGTAGGCACCTAGGGACCTCACAGTTTTCCCAGTCACCATCAGCTGCCCTGTTGTAGTTTTCTGAATCTCATCGATGGTCTGAAATCTCTTCCCTTTCAAAGGCAATTTTAATTTTGCAAAAAGCCAGAAGTCACAGGGCGCCAAATCTGGGCTGAAGGAGGGCTGAGTCATCTGGGTGATTTGATGTTTCACCAAAAAACTCTGCACAAGATGGACGTGATGCATGAGCAGGAGTGTTATCTGATGAAGCTGCCAAATGCCAGGTGCCCATAGCCGCGGCCTTCTAAATCATCCCAAAAGTTTCCGCAGAGGAATGTTCAAGCTTAACATAAAATTTGGTGCAGATTAGTTGCTCTACTCACTCTGTTATTTTGAATGAGATGGCACACAGTACATATGCTCACTCAATAGCATCTACAGCCCCCACTGACTAGTACAGTAAAGTTGTCATTTTTCACACATGCACATTCCAGTCCACTCTCCTTGGCTGCCAGGTTACATCGATGCCGTGTAAACCACTCTTATTATATTAACAATGGCTAGGTTTTTTCTGGACAGACCTCTTATCAAAAATAAAATGCTGAATGTTTTTGTTTTTGGATGTTTTTTGTTCATTTTTCCCCCAGTTTCCAGGCTACTTATTTATGCAAAAGCAATTCTATAAAAAAAATCTTTTCCCAGAATTCTGTCAATACTAGGAAATAATAAGTACTCTTCTTACCTAATAAGAGTCTACTACTCTGATCACCATCAGTAACAGCAGACAAACTTTTCTGTCTTCCTGCCTTTTGCTGGGCAATTTTCTTCGCTTTTGTCATCTCTTCCTTAGGCTTTTCTGGCAACCAGAACTCTACCATAGCTTCCTGTCTCATTCCACACCCCCATCTTGGGTGCACCCAATGCCCTAAGCTGATTCTTCCCTGTTGCCCTATCAAAACTTTTTTTTGGTTTCATTCCCTCTGTGCTGTGGCATAAGAAGAAAACCCAAAATAACATAAATGATAAAAGTTCAATCAGTTATACTGAACAGGTCATTTAAATAAAGGTAGTATGTAATGAAAACAAGTCTCCAATGGTAGAATTTCAAATAAGGGTAAGGTTCCACAACTCACACCATACAAGTGTGTATCTGTTCCAAACATACATGAGAAGACCAGGAATGAAGCCAGCTGGATGCAGGCATAAAATGGGCAGATAAAGCAAAATCTCATTACAAGAGTATCTACCTCAGAATCATAGAGCTCATTCAGCCCAAGACTCTCCGAGAAGCCATCTGCACAAGGTCACAGAGTAAATTATTAGCTAAAAAGATCAGAATCCAGGGCTCCTGCCTCCTTGGTCAGCCTGCACGTATCTCTCTGAACTTCAGGAAAATGAGACTTATCTCCCATTTAGTTTCCTATTTCAGCTTCAGAAGTCTTGATAACACTAGGTAAGAATTACTTAAGAATCTAAGTACTGAGTATTGGATGTTTCTTTTGAAGAAAAAAATACAGTTTCATAATGAAGAAATTTTTGAGTGCTGTGCAAATGTTGTGCAGGATGTGAGAGGAAGCAGAGAGGTCGGTTCTCAATGGCTAGTGGTGAACACAGAACACAGATACAGAACTCAACCCCTTTAGGAACTAGGCAACACCTCCCCCTAGTGCCAAAGGGAGGACATTTTTCACTTTAAATCACGCCCTGAACACAAACCAGAGAACGCAAACTTCTCTTAAGTCACACAGCATAAGTCAATGAAGACTTAAATTTAACAAGTGAGTAAAATGGAGGCCAGAAGGTAAATATATATCCAGGGCCAGATACTGGAAGCCTCATAAAGCCATAATATAACTTGCCTATCCTTCTGCCAGTTAAAAACTTTCAGTGACAACTGGAAACCTATCTTCAGTAAATGGCTAAACTGCAGGAAGGAAGCAGGGAGAGAAGGAAGGAAAATCCCAAACATGACTTGTTTTCAATTGTTCATTTTGACCAATAACCACAAATGAATGACATATAGTTCTGTCTGAACCTGGAATAACAAAAAGTCAGTGAAAAGATTAGTGCTAACCACCTGAATAGTGAGTTCATTTGCCATTCAAAATAGACATATTTTATTACTGTTAACAGAATGGACTATATAAGTGCTCAATATACCATAAAAATTTATAGGAATACCTGTAAAACTTATTTGAGCTTTCTTGTATAATATCAAGTAACTTGCTGATATAAAACCTATATAGCTAAATCATTTTGTAATATGAGACCATTTAAGTGGAACATGGAAGTTCACAAGAAGTTCTCAAGAACATACTTATCAAATATCAGACTGAACCAAAATGGGAAGAATAGGAAATAACATAAAAAAACTAAACATGCCCAAAGCCTGCATTTTCTTTTTCAAAGTCAGCTGGGAATATAGTAACCAAATGAATTTAATTTTGCTTTCAAACTTTTGCAGGCTGTTTAGCTGTGAAATCAAGTACATGTGAAAGTACATAGCATTTGGAGCTATTTTTCTTCTATGCCTACCCTGGTATTCTTCCACTATGGTTACAAACCATAAAAACATTACAGTTCCATGGGAAGGAGCCCATCCATCCTGCAACAAAACAACTACTTCCCAACCATTCTATGGCACATTAATAAGGTCCACTGAGATGAACAGAGAGGGCTGCTGGTGTGTAGCCAGGTAGGATCTCTGTCATCACAGGCCTGCCTGATTATCCCAGGCCTGAATGGATCAATAGCTTATCACACTTATAACCTATTCATGGCACACCACCTGGGAAACTGATACACATGATTCATTCCCATTCCTTCCTGAGCCCCTGACTCTTTTAAATAGTCTCCTATATCTGGCAATATATTATCAAGACCTACAAGTTGTAAAAATTATAACCCAGATAAATGAGGCTTGCTTACCTTTCACTGAAAATCAAGAGGGAGGGCCAAAATGTAAGGGGGCAAAGGAAAATAGCCTAGGTGGCACAAACTCAGCCCCATCTCCAGAGAAAGCCCACCGACCTGGGGCTTAGTGTTTTGGCCCTATTCCTTTAGGCTTCCATCATGCACTCAGGGCCTTTCTCTCACTTTTTCAAATGGAAATGAAATTTGACACTTTTGCTTAGAAGAAAGACTTAAAAAGAAAACAATACGTTGGATGAACATTCTGGGCTAACATTCAGTGACAACCACAGAAAGAAATCTGACAGAAAATTAAGTAATCCAGAATACTTACCAGTCTTTTTGGGATATGTTCCTATTATAAATATGCCCAGGAATATCTTTATAAGGAGGACAAATACATTTACACCGGACATCCCCGGAATTCTGTAACCAAAATGGAAACTTGGTATATAGCTTATTTATAGTTTATCATCAATATTTTCAAAAACTGCACCATATACTGTATTTTGCCATGTATAATGCGCACTCTTTTGCCCGTTTTTGAGGGAAAAATTAAGATGCACATTATACATTAGTACTAATTCTATATCTATATAAATGTTTTTAATTCCTTCATGCATGCTTATGCATTAAAAGTGTAACCCTAGAAAGCACTAATGATATCTGAACACAAAATAAGATCAATTGTGTTATACATTCGATCAATTGTGTTTCTAAATATAAATAAAAAACTGAATTAAAAAATTAAAATGAAAGATTTGTTTTCCTGAAAGTTTGGGCCAAAAATGTGGGTACACATTTTACACAGTGCACATTATACATGGGAAAATACGGTACCTTTTGTTAAACACCCCCTGCCAAGTTCTAAAACCATTCACTTAAAACTTTAAATAACTTTGAGAGATACAAATTTTTAAAAGATTACCCCAAGTTCTTCTTGGCAATGCTAATGAATCATTAAATACTACATAAAATCATGTTAAAATAATACTTAGCACATTATCTGTAACTTATTAATCACATTATGGGTCAGATAACAAATTGTGCAAATGTTATCACCATCTACCTGTCAGTAGACAGAGTACAGAGATAGCTGTGCTTGCAATAAGAATGCTGATTATAAAAGGATGGGCAAGAGTCAAACTAACAATTACTCAAAATGCAAGTCACAATTCTACTATCCACCATTCTTCCATGCTTTGGTAGAAAGGCACTGACTGATGTGGGTAAAAGGGGTTAGGCCAGAATCCTATAGAAGGGATGAAGTTTTAGAGGCACTCAGCTACGATTAGAAAGAAAGTACATAAGGGAAGTGGCTGAGTCTAGCTGAGATCAGTTTGGTCCACCCTTCCCAGGAAACTGCTTCTAATCCCTGATAGACAGAGAGGGATAAGCCACGGATAAGGCAAATTTCAAAGCTGGAGGAAGACAAGACTAATACATGAACAGAAGGAGAAGACGACGCTTCCTCAGCAAAGGCAAATCTACCTGAGAGGGCAGTGGTTTATTAGTCCCAAAGGACCAGGCCCACTGCTCTTATTATGTAAGACATGTCTGGCAAAACTGCTGATAATTCTCTCACTCATTCAGCAATCATTTAGTGAGCATTTTCTCAGTGCCAGACCTTGTGCTCAATAAGGTGGATTCAGGTAAGTATAAGACATGCCTGCCTGTAATTAGGACATGCCTTAATAAAGCAGACTGATAAATAAATACATGATTACAATAACACTACCTAAAGTGCTAAGAGATATGCAGAGGGTTTCAACAATCTTTTGACAGTCAGGAGGCTTGCTACGATTCCTTTTTCTGGTGGGAGGTAGGGAAGATTTCAAAAAGAATCCCTGATCAAAAACCCCAATCAAACCCCTTTGATCTGCCTCCCTTGTACTTTGTCTTTCCCAATCTCAATATTTGAAGATATTACAGAGGCCCTGGCTGGGTGGCTCAGATGGTTAGAGCGTTGTCCTGATACCTCAAGGTTGTGGGTTTGATCCCCATTCACGGAACATACAAGGGCCAACCAACGAATGTATAAATAAATGGAGTAACTTATCGATGTGTCTCTTCTCTCCCCCACTAAAAAAAAGAAGAAAAAAAAAAGATATTATAGATTAAAGCTCCTATTTTTTAAAAAATGCAAATGTCATTGTTTTCCCACCACATTAATTTGAATTCCTCTGTCTTCCCCCATAACGAGCTCGCTCATCAAGCAGGAAGCATAAACGTGTACGGGGCCAGGGCAGGTATGGACGGCAGGGAGATGAAGGGGGATAGAAAGCGGCATCGGGGGATTAGACGAGCCAAGACGTGGAGCAAGAGAGAGGCCAAACCCTCATATCTCCTGTAGTTTGGATCCTCCCTTACACACTGAATTATAAGTTAGCGAAGAGGCAAGAAAGGGGTCAAGAGGTCCCGGAGGGAGTGAGGTGAGGATATTAGGTTGGTGAGGACTCCGGAAGTCCTATTGGGAAGAAAAGCTGCCTGGAGAGGCAGGTTTCCACAAAGGTAAGGGAATCTGCTTAGGGATGAGTTGGGAGGAGTTAGCTCCTAAGACGGAAGACTTCTGTGAGATAAGGGCTCTCCATCATTTTGGCTTGTGGAATGGGGGCGGGGTGGTGGTCTGTGAAGCTGGTGGAGGGTGCTGGTAGGCTGTCAGAGCTTCAGGGTGGAAAAGTTCAAGTTAAAGGCTCCCAGAATTGGAAAGGTTATACAGAATTGGAAGGGGTGGGGGCTGTCGCGACAAGGCGGGGAAATGCAAAGAAGGCGGAAGACTTACTGTCCAAGCAGTGGCATTGCCAGGCCTGGGTGGAGGTGGGGGCGGGCGGGGTGTCAGAGGACCGGTGATGGTCAGGCTGTCAGGGCAGGAGGGCGACAGTGCTATCGGGCAACAGGGAGGGTGGTAGGTGGGCGGTGGACAGGACTGTGAAGCGAGGAGTTGGACTGTCAGGGCTGGGAGAGGAATGGGGTGAGCAGCAGGTTGAGAGACCCCGGCCAGGCGGGGGCGGGGGAGGAGCTTCGGTCCGGAACGCAGGTTTGGCGGGACTCACCTTGGCGGCGTCTGACATCTGCACTAGCAGCAGCACGGACAGCGCCAGGCAGGACAGGCTGAGCAAAGAGCCAAGACGCAGGAGGCCGCCCCACAGAGTCGCCATGGCCTCCAGACCCAGCAGCCCCCACGGCCCAGAGCCGCCGAAACCCCCTCCGCCTCGGGCTCCTCCGCCCGCACTTCCGTCTGGACCTTCGCGTCACCAGGCGCGCCGGGTCAGCGGCAAAAAGCGTCCGCCCCGGAAACTGTTCCGGATGCGAAGGGCCCGAGGCTGCGCGGTGTTGGCGAGGGCCAGGGGTACCCTCGGCGTGGGAACCGAAGGGGTCCTCTTTTGGGGGGCAGCCTCAGCCCAGCAAAGCTGTGAGGCTCTAGGATATCGTTCCCGGGCGCAGAAGCAGCGGGCGCGGGGAAGTCCTCCGATCCGCGAGGCCCCCGGCCAGCCCGGGATGTCAGATGGAAGCCTCCTGCAAACCCTTCGAGGCCAGAGCGATCCTCAGCCGCAGGGGGCTGCTGAAGGGGCGGCCTCTCCCGGCGGCGCAGGCGTGGAGCCGGTACGGGACTGGCCGACTGTCCCTTCCCGGGAAGTGCGCCCCAGTCGGTCGGCCGAGGGGCGTGTCCGGGCTTTGGCGACTAACCTCCCGCCCCGCGCCTCCCGGACGCCATTCCCCGCAAGGTTTCTAACAGTCTCTGGGAGCTACCTGTACCTTGTGGCTTTCCTGCTTGCCTCCCGCTAGGGGCTGGCCGCCGAGGTCCAGCCTGCTGCAGGTGGAGTTGGCGAAAGAACCGCCCTAGTAGCCTCTTCCGTCTCGGACTAGAGGGTGGGGATGGCGGCCCCTAAATCCGGGTGAGGGCTGACCCGTCTTTCCAGTGCGGGTCCTCTTCCGCAGGTAATTTAGGAGGACTGTAGAGATAGCAGTGTTCCCAGTAAAGTATTTTTCAGTTAGTGGAGACGGTAAAGGATATAAGGCTCATGACAACCACTACAGCTTTGCTGATGACCTGGGGCAAAACTTCCCTGTCACTGGGTCTCTGGTTCTGGGCTCAGTATGAGATTTTAATTTTTATCTATGGATTTCAAGTTCTCCCATGGAATACCAGTATTTCATAAATATTTTTAAAATATGGTCTTATTTGTGGAAATGCTTTGATTAACAGCCTTTTTATGTTATTTTTCTCCTATGATTCTTGATGCTAGAATCATAGGAAGGAGCCCCATGTCCCAAGTGACAAGTGGTGGCCAGTCCCAATCAGAACCAGAGGGGCAGAACTAGATGATCTTTCACCCAGGCCCCTGCAGGCTGCCTTATAAAGATGCTGTCACATTAGTGAAATTTCATGTCTTTGTAGTGGGTGTTCTGCTGGCCAGAGGACAATCTGGAGATACCTGGGGTCAGATGTGTCTGACTGAGGCTCTATGGACCTGTGATTGCTAAAAGCTGACTCATCAGCAACTTTGGGATCAATTTGGGTTTAGTTGTCTAGGCCTGGTATCTAAAGAGAGTGCCCACTCCCTAGTTGAATCCTCATGGGCTTCTTCCAAAATTGTTTTCAGGGGTCTTGGTAGAGAAAATACATAGTAATGCCTCAGTCTCACAGGCCTCTGTTTAATGCAGAAACACCAAGTACACTCTGTCTAGGCAGAACTTTAGAGCTAACTGTCCAATGCAGTAGCCATTAGCCACGTGTGGCAATTAAGCACTTGAAATGTGGCTAGTGTGAATTGATATATGCTGTAAGTGTAAAATACACATGGATTTCAAAGGCTTAATACAAAAAAACCCCTCAATGTGTTTATATTAAGGTTGAAATATTTTGGATACACTATTAAAATAATTTTGCTTGTTTCTTTTTTTACATCATAAATGTGGCCATTAGAAAATTTAGTATTTATATTAGGCATCACTGTTCTAGAATATAGAATGTGGCTGCCATTGAGATAGGCCAGTAAGCCCAGACAAGTGGAACAGGGAAACTGAGACAGATAGCTGAACAAACTGGCCAAGCAATTTACAGCCAGATACAGGTCACCTCCCTTGAGATAGCGTTTAGGCCTCAGTTGTATTTCAGCTCCAGACCCAGAAAAACAGCAAAACCAGGTGGGCAAGGCCAAGACCAGCTGCAGTGATTAAGGATCCTCTGAGCAGCTGGCACTGACCAATCAATCAGTGGAAACCATGACCCTGAAAGAGCACAACTGGAAGACTAAAGAATGTTATGTAGAAATCATGAAATCACCCCCTAAGACCTCCCCTAAGATTTCCACCTGCAAGAGAGAAATAAAAGCCCAGCACATGCTCTCCCTGAGCCATTCCCTTTCCCCTCTTTTTCCCTGTCTTCATCCCTGATGGGCATGTATCTCCTAGACTCTAGGAGGGCCCACGAGACCAGGAAAACAATGGGCAGCAGCAGCTCATCCCAGGCCGATCCCTGTCTCCAAGGCCCTATTTTCTCTGACTTCCCAGTGGGCTAAAACGGCCCAGGCAAGGCTCTCCTGTTGCTTCTTCTGTGCTAAGCCCTTTCTTATACTGCCTCCAGCTTTAATAAACGTTTCTTCCTAGACACCTCCACTTTTCCTACATGATGTCAAGAACCCACACGCTACCGGCTGGCCCTAGGCAGACCTGTTCAGGTCCAGGTTCCCTGTCTAGTCTAAACACCATGAGTGAGTGGAGTGTGACTGAGATGGTTGCCAGTCTGGAGCCTGAATGAAGAAGCCTAGAAAGGAGAGGTGACAGGCAGGAACCTGCATAGCTGGAACCAAGGGTTTGGGAGCAGTACGTGTCTGTCAAAAAATGAATGCAATTTTAGGTGATGCAGTAGGACTGGAGGGGTCAGTTCCTCTTGTTCTGCCCAGCTCTTACCTAGATAACTCTTTTTTTTTTTTCCCCCTTAGCTCAGGGGTTATCTAAGCCAGAAAGCCTTCCCTGATTTAAGTGCACTCCCTTCTGTATTTGTTCACATCTCTTTCCTAATTTAGCCCATCATAGTAAAATTGTTTTCATATGTACCTCTATAGTCCCAACCTCCAAAATATTTTGAGCTCTTTGAGGGCAGGGACCTTGTCTATTATCTTTGTACCTGGAGACTGGGATATAGTAAAAACCAGTAAATATTTGTGGGGTCCTATTTCTTGAATCCCTACTTGATTCCTTTCTGACCATGACAGGACGAAACTGAGATGCCTGAAGAAGTACAGAGGGGATCTGGGCACCGCAATAGGCAGGAGAGGGGGGATCTCTCCTTCGTTCCTCCTAGATCCTCATGTCGCATCAGAGCTGTTCTATTTACAGTCAAGAAAGGCCTTGGTCAGTGCCCACTTTCCCCCCTCCCTTTTCCTTGTTTCCCTGTGGCTAGGTTCCCTACTTCATTCCCCTTAAGGAGCAGCACAGGTCCAGCTGGGCCCTCTCACTTCTTTGTGAGGCCTGGAAAAATTCCCTGATGGGGGAGGGTAAAAAGAGCTGCTTCTAAACTTAAGTGTGAAAGTTAGAAGATTAGGAAGCAGAGTGACAATTTATGTATCTGGGACCAAGGTTTTGCCAGCTCTGGACCCCTTTCCCCTCCAGTGATCAAATAGCTCTTTCTTATTTCTCTACCCCATCCTTTCTGATCTGCCCAGCACTTTCCCAGGCCACACCAGGGAGTGTGGCCTGGGAACACCAGAACAGATGGAAAGGCACACAGCATCCCTGATTAGTGTTTCCCTTGATTGTGCCTCTAGTGGTTACGTCAGCGCGCACGCACACACACACACACACACACACACACACACACACACACACCCCCCAACCCCGCCCCCCCCCCCCCCCCCGTTCTTTCCGTTACTTCTGGGCATACCTGGGAATATCCTCTCTGATGAGCCCTCTCCTTTACTGTGTGCATCGCCAGGACGCTCCCCTCTACTGACCCCTTTGGTTAGATTTTCTGTCCTCTGCTGCCTGTAATGCTACAGCCGTGTGCCGTGCCTTTGCTTGCTAGTACCCGCCATGATGACAACAGTGTATGAGGTGAGAATATTCTCTGTTCCTTGAGATTTTGGCATCCCTATCGCTGACAAGTTACTGCAGACCCCAAAACAACAAAGCAATGCAAATTTAGTACCAAAGCTGAGAGAATTTTTAAAGTTTCTTTCAGAGGAGTGCCAAATCAGTATTGTTGGTTTCCCAGTGTCTTAAGGAAATACTTAAGAAAAACAACCATCCTTTTGCAGCCCTAAGATTTTCAAATAAATGAAATACTACATTACTTTTATTCATTTTTATTTTTATGAATATAGAACATTAAAAAAAATAGTATTTCACAGCAGGTCCTGCCCTCTCACAATCAATTTCTACTCCCCAGATACTTCTTATTTTTTAGCTATCTTTTCTGGGATTTATCCTTTCAGAACTAAGATTTTAGAGGGAAAGACAGACAATAAGTTACACGGACAATAAGTTACACAATAAGTTTGGATATTGTGCGATGATAACAATAATAGAAGGGAAAAACTGAATATCTGCATATAGATGTTGGTTAAAGGACAGATGATGCGGGAGTAGTGAATGTTCTGATTATTTCATGAAGTAAAAAGCAAGGTCATCATCTGAGAGCGGGAATATGGAAGGTGTTAGAGATAGACATGCCTGATCAGCTTGGTATTCTCAGGAGGCTTCTCGGTCCCTCAAACATACAGGTTCCCACCTGGCCCACCCTTCTGGTATACACAGAAGGATCTGAATTCCAGTGGTGGCGTCACCTTAGGCTGATACCGGGACTTCCACCCCATATTTCCTTCCTTTAGTTGTCATTCTTTTCAATTCCTGCCCTTCCCTTCACTCCTTACCTGCTCACACTGAGCCTTACTATTTCTGAAATTCTCAATGGGGCATACACAGCTGGAAACTCCTCTCTGGCTGCCCTTCTTCAGACCTTAGAACAGGCTCTCTCCACCCACCCGTGTGGTCTAATTGGTCCTTATGAAACCTGTTCACTTTACTATCCCCCAACTGGTTCATGGATACCACAAAGAAACTATTATGAATTCAGACTGGTGGGGGACAGTTTCTAAAGAACTTTCAAAATAGAGTAATTGCTTCCTCAGCACTAATCAGATTTTCATGTCCTTACCCATTTAAAAAATAAGGTAAGAACCACTACACCAGCCCCCAAGAATAAGGTCATTCAGTATATCCAGGAGTCCAGTGTTTCATAACAAAATCTCAAGATATCCCACGTTAGTTTGCCAAATGATGAAAGCAAAGTTAAATTCCTGTTATCCAGGATCACAGTACGGAAGAGTATATGCCCCACTCCCTCTGCCCTCCAAGCATCTCCTCTGGCACACACAAGTTTCTCTACTAGATCAGCCACACTTCCTCTTCCCAACCTGTTTGTCCTGTTCAAGGGAACTGACAGGGTTTGAGTATGTTAACACTGGAGTGTGTATGGGCTCCCTGGAGAATTAGGTTTTCTGTATTACAAATTGGGAGGCTACTCTGGCTCCAGTAAACAGCAATGCCAGGATTGAATTCCCCTTCTTGATTTTGGTGGCTGGGATTTGCTGGTTAGGGGCATATGTCCAGGAAAGAGTATGTAAAGATGTTGGAAAGAAAGGACAAGGCTTATAGTCATCAAACTGCTAGAAACTTTGAGCAAGTCAGTACCTGAAAGCAGGTAAAGACTCAGATTTACCTCCGTTCTGGTCAGCATCTGAGAGCCCCGATCTTCCAGAACATACCACAACACTTGAATTAAAAAGATCTTTGAGAAAACAGTTGTCACAATGCCTGTATGCTTGACACCATGTGACAAATAGCTACAAGTCATCAGCCCGCTAAGTGTGCATAAAATAAGACAGTAGAATAGTATAGCTGAGGATGCACTGACAATGGAAAAAAGTAGCAATAGCTCACAGGGGAGTCCAAGCTATAACACACAGACTAGTTTTTCTCAGCTTTCCATTTTCTTGAGAACAGCAGCTTGCAATCCTTCAAAGCTGGGTAAAAGGCTCATAATTAATGAGTCTATGTTTGTAGTGATGGCAATAACTCAACAACAAACTACATTTGATTCACAATGCCATTTAATAAAAATGCCCTAGAATCAATCTAACAATTTTAGCATTAGGAATGACTTTGTAGGTCTCCTTTTCCAACCTTCTACCCAATGCAGAAATCGCTTTAAAAAGGTTAATTCCACCTTTCACTTTCGGAGAAAGGGAATTTAGAAGACAATCCATTTAAGTGTGCTAAATGCTTGTATCTTTATACTACAAAGAGCCTTAACTTTTCCTTCTGCAAAACTGTGAACAATACTAGTTTCTTTGCTGGGATTAGTATAGTCCCTGGTTTATAGCAGATGCTGCCTTCCAGTTGAGTCAGGATATGCCTCTCTACAACCTCCACCTACTGGAAATGCTTGCTTTCTCATGCTAGGAACTCGCCACATGACAGCTCTGAATAATCATGTTGCCATTGTCCTTTTCTGGATGCTCCACATATTATATACATGTCCTTGGCTTACAAATGGCATCTTCTCCACACAGTACTTAATATTTCCACACTTAGATTAATCAACTAAAACACTAATGTCATCTTCACATGAACTTGTCTTAATCCAAATTGTCTCTCACTGTGCAAGTGCAATAATTTTTAAAAATGAAAATCCAAGTGTATTTTTTTTACTCCATTAAAACTTAATACTGTTCGTTCCATTCTATTAAGATGATTATGAATCTTGATTCTGTCCCTCATTGCTTAAGAGTCAGGTTGGGTAAGTCTTTTTACATTTTTAATATTTCAAATAAGTGGAGAAAACCTTTTGAGGTAGAATGATAGTCATGTGAGTAGCAATAGAACCATAATTCTATATTATGATAACCACTGCCATAAAGATTATTTCTTATTGACTATTTACTCATACTGTTTAAATATTTAAAATATTAACACAAAGTTATCATCTGTAAAATGCATTTATTTGGAATGTCATATAGACAATGACTTTAACTATTTTTTTGGGTTCATTAAGCCCTTCCCCTTCCCAAACCTCTCCTATTTGTTTTAACTAAATAAATATTTCCTTTTCTATAAGTGTTCTTGTACTGATGAGTCTCTATAAAAGTTTGTTCTCAAATACAACTAAAGCTTTGAGGGAGCCCTGGTTGGTGTGGCTCAGTGAATTGAGTGCTAGGCTGCGAATCTAAAGGGTTGCTGGTTTGACTCCCCATCAGGACACATGCCTGGGTTGCGGGCCAGGTCCCCAGATCAGGGCATGCCAGAGACAGCCAATTAATGATTTTCTCTCCCTTTCTTCCTCCCTTCTTCTCTCATAAATCTTAAAAAAAAAAAAAAAAAAAAAGCTTTGAGGGGATACCATATGCCAACCACTTTACATGGATTATCTCACTTGACACTATAAAGTAAGTACTATTATCAGTTGTTTTATAGATTGCAAAACCAAGCTCAGAAAAGTTCATTAATTTGCCTGAGGACATACAACCAGTAAGAGGGAGAGCTGAAGGGCCAGTAGCAATAGAGGAAATGAGGACAGCAAAGCCTTGTGTTCAGAAAACCCTATGTGACAAACACTGACACAGCGATTAGGCTGTTCCCAGGTTTCCCCCACCTCCAGGGGCCCTGACACAGACACTTTGTCAGACAAGCACACAGAGGGGAAGATTTCACTTTATTGTTACACCAATCTCACAAATAAACCCAACACAGCCAGAAACACTGAGCAGATAAAGTGCTAATGCATAGGCCTGGCAACAGAGGGAGGGAGTAATCCAGTTTGTCTCCTCCATGTCCCCAACCTGGAAAGATATTTCTATTACACAAGAGCGAGGATAGCTGACATACCAAGCAATCACTCTATAGACACTTTGAGCTAAGGAACAGAAAATCTTACCAGATGGGATCTGTACAGGGCAAGGAAATAGAAAGGTCAGAAAACATTTGTTCCTCAAATAAGTCAGACACAGAAATACCAAATGACAAAAACAGTCTTTTCCAAACTTCCTGTGTTTGAGAAGAACATCTAATAAGGAAGGAGGGAGGCACCAGTTCTAAGGGCTACTTCTTGCTACTGCCTATCTTCAGAACTGTGACCTCAGTGGACACTCTTTCCGATAAACTCAATCAGAGGTGCCAGAGAGAATTTTCTAGGATTCTGGGAAGAACTGACCTTACCTGCTTACTTTGCAATCCCCCAAAAAGCAGACCCAGTGCTCCCGAATGGATAAAAAGGAGATATGGGCTGCCAGAGTAATCGACTTGGCAGCGTTTAAACATTAATGAAGCTCAAGATTTCCCATAATTGTCTTTAGACATTTTAAGGTACCTCTATCAAGCATGAGGTTTAAAACACAATTATTTGGTTAGTAAATTCAGATGATTTGACTGCATTGAGGTTATGATACCCTAAACTCAAATTGCCCCAATTGTTTCTATTCCAATATTGGAAAGTACTAATTCTCAGAGGCAGAAAGGTCACTAAAGGTCATCTATCTTCCCCAGACACCATATAATCCTGAGCTCAGCCCGAATCAGTCACATCTTTCTAGCACCTGAGAATTCCTGATCTCACTGGTCCACAGGGAATCTGTATGAGGATAAACCAGGCCAAGGAATTTCCAACAAGCCTCACTCGTAGCCAAGAGCCAAGGCTCAGAGTGGAACTCTCAGCTAGGGAAGGAAGGAGTGAAGTATTTCATCTCAGGTCTGGGATAAGAAGCAGACCGAAGTGCTGCCATGACAGGTAGGGGAGAAGGGTGGAGAGGCCTCAATGGAAAGGCAGCAGTCCCCTAGGTAAGAAAATGGGGGGGAGGAGGAGGGGGCAACGAAGCCTGGTAACCTGGAAGCACCGTTGCTGAAGCTTCAAGTGTGACCTCCTCTACTGTGGCTGTGCTTAGCCTTCTGTCTTACTTCCTCTATAGGGGCTGAAAGGAGTGGAGCCTGCGAATGACCCAGTGATAACTGGCTGCAGCTGTTCCAATGGAGGTCACCAAGTTTCCAGTCTTGAGGAGCTTCTGTAAGGCTGAAACATTCAGAGTTCCAAAGGGTTGTTTGGCAGGGACAGCAGCTGAGTGCTAGAGGAGACTGCTGGTGGGACCTGGCAAAGTTGCAAGTGGGACCCATTAAACACTCTGGGAGCCAATGTTATGAATCAAGGGTAGACTTGGGAATCTCCTAAAAAGATATCCCCAGTTGGCTATTTTTCTGACTTCTCCAGGCACTCCTATGGCCAAATTGAAGAGGAAACGCCATTACAGGAGTGCCCAAGGTGGGCATCTGTGTGCCCAAGCTGACACCCCCAACAAAAAGTTTCAAGGAGTCCCTGTGATCTTCGGCTCTTTGAGAGGGGTCAGGGAATACTGGGCACTTAGGAAGTTTCCCTGAACACTGTCAGCTGCTGCCTTGCCTCTTTCCTCATACCAGGGCAGAGCTGAAGAGTTTCCAAACCCTCGAATCCCTTCCTGGAAGTCTCCTTCCTGACCATCTCAGAAAAATTTCCCTGTGGAGGTCTTCCCACCAACTGATTCCATCTAGTCCTCCCTTCCATTATGGACCTGCTCTCGGTTTTTTCACCCTCTTTACCTACTCCTGTTCTCAGTTACTTGAGTCCATGGCGGACAAATAACAGGCTAGGCGGAGACAGTGACTGGATCTTGGGAGTATTGATGTCTGACAGCGATACCCAGGTTACCGGTGTTCACTGAAGCCTTCAATTCTGTCTCAAGAGTGATGAATGTTCTTCTGTCTGTGGTTCCTTCCTCTCCTCCCCTCCAAGAAATTAAGGTGAAAGACCATCTCGTGGATCTTTGTACCCTCAGCTTTTAGGTACCAAGGCAAGGGCCTACATGTGACAATTTGGGGCAGGGGAATTTTAGTGGGCTCAGCTCACAGAGGGAGAGATACCCAGATCCTCCTTCCATCCATCCCCAAAGCACTTGCCTCCCCCTACTCTGCCTTTTTAGAAACCCTCATCTCTTCATCTTCCTCTCAAGTCTTGAAGACAAATGAAGCAGCATGGGACAATGAACACAGCCTTGGCTTGTCAGTTCTGAGGTCTAGATCCCTTCTGCTACTGACTCTGTATAGGAGCTCAGACAATTCACTTGCCTCTCTGGACCTTTAAATGAAAGGGTTGAATTACATTATCTCTCTGGAATCTTTCAGATTTCAGGTCTATTCATACTTGAGAAATCAATGAATGAATTAAAAGAAATATTAATTCTGTGACATATCCTGCACTTCTCTGAAATAGCTGAAAGGAGATAAAGGTCAGGTTCCTGTTTATTATACATTTTAGCTATAGGAAAAGTAGCAAGTAAACTTATGGAGAAATGGAATCTGGCAGCCCCTATATTTGACTAATAAAAGCAAATTCCTGGAAGAAGCAGAGAAATAGGCCACAAGTGAGACCTGGCAGTGTCAAAGGAGTAGAAAACAATGGCTATCACCAGACAAGATCTCTAAGCACAGACTAAAGTCTAGAGAGGTCTGGGTGGGAAAGAGCTCCTGTAGCTTCTATTAGAGGAAAGGACTTGGTCCACAGCAAGTTGCTACTGCATTTGGTTCAAACCCAGTTTTCTCAATCTGTCAACCTGGTGTGTGTGCGTATGTGCAGACACGCTGCAGGCTGTAGTTATGCTTCTGAAGTGCTGAAATGAGAAAGAAACAGAAGAAATGATAACAAATTCAAGGAGGTTAAGAAGGCAAGTACAAGTTTAGCTTAAAAGCTACTCATTTTCTCCACCATTCTGTGCAGCATCACCACTGCTCATTCTGAAATGTGAGCTAGAAAGTTTCATAAGATGGTGAAATGCAGGGTGGGAAAGGGTGTATCTGTGGTATGATTGAAGGCCAAAGGCAGAACACGACCCAACATCCAGTACAAGAACCGCTCCAGTTAATGGCAAATGAATTTGACTTGATCTGACCCATTTGGACACTCACTTATCTTCATTCAAGGAAACTGTCTCCACAAAAGGGATTTCTTCTTTGTCTGTTTTCCCCATGATCAGCTGGTGCTTATCCAAGTTTATGATGCACTGAAAGCAAAGGAGAATCACTGGTTACTATAAATGATTTCACTTTGGATGTGTCCATATAAGATGACTGCTTCCTCAGGGAGGAAGTATCAAAAGGAAAGTAGAACCAATCCTACCTTCAGGGATCGGAGAGTCTGGAGACCAAGGGACAAGTTTTTCTCATTGTCCTCTAATAAAAAAAATTAAATTTCAGCCATTTCCATACTGGTTTAGAAGTCAGCCTTATCACCATTAGCTTCCATCCAACCATCCATCCATCCAATAAATATCTGTTCCATCCATCTAATAAACATCTTTTGTGCATTTATTATTTTAAGTAATTTCCCCAGATCATTATAGTGAAAGGCCAAAGGAATCAAGATTCAAACCCTGGTCTTTTTAATCAAGATTCAAAATGAGGTCTATTCTTTTTTTTTTAATCCTCACCTGAGGATATACTTATTGATTTTAAAGAGAGAGGCGGGGGGTGGGGGAGAGAGAGGGAAAGAAACATTGATGTGAGAGAGAAACATCAGTTGTCTCCCATATGCACCCTCACTAGGGATTGAACCTGCAACCTAGGTATGTGCTCTGACTGGGAATCAAACCCACAAACTTCTGGTGTATGGGATGACACTCCAACCAACTGATCCACCTGGCCAGGGCAAACCTAGGTCTTTTTAACTTTATAAAAACCAGGCACTTAGAGTAGTTTAGAATAGGGTGCATTAGAGAAAGTATGAGATGTTGGGAAATTATCAAGAGTTTTACAGCAAAGGAGTAAGAGGACCTTGCCCTCTACCTCAAACTAGCTCATAGAAAGCTCTCAGGGGTCATTTTCACTGGCACACAAAATGTTTGTTGTTTTCCCCCACCCTTTTTCTTAAGAGTAATTCTCAGCTTGCCTTGACTGTAGCCTAGGGTCCAACTGGTACTTTGGAAGGCATTGGAACAAGGTCTATAGTATAGAAAAGTGGAAACCTGGGATTTTGAAGAAGTCAGTACTTACAGGCATAAGATCTCATGAGTAGGAAGAGGATTTACATTAGGGCCCACAGGTCCAGTCCCCAATTCTACTCACCAACCACAGCCGCCGGGCAGTCCAGGCGGAGGGAGCCCAGTGTGATCACGAGGTGCTCAATCTGGCCCACTACTTTCAGATGCCGGGGTAGAGAAAGCTTCTCTCCTTCATGCTTGTGAGATTTGACATGATCCTTGAGTCTGCATCAGAGGAGAAGATACCAGAATCCCCTTGGCAGAGGTTTCTGATGAAATCTGGCAATGTCTACCTTCTGATCCATAGTTGAAATTTTCCAGGGATTTCCTGAGGTTAATTTACAAAAGAAGTGCTAGCCAGTCTACACTTCCTGTCTGAGCACTTTGTCCTAAACATTTGTCCAGGGGATAGTAAAAAAAACTAAAAATTCAGCTCCTGTTTGTAAAGAGATACAGCCACTATATGCATTAGTAAGAGCTGACACACTCGGAGAATGCTGTCTGCATCCTAACATCCCCACTCATGTGCAAGGCAGTTTAGTTAACATGTCCTTGTACCCATCTGTGCGTAACAGATCTCGCTGAGGGCAGGGCAATTCTAATTTTAGAAGATACTTTGTTCAATGTCTAATTTTTCTCTGTCTTTTTTATTTCAGTCTACCCTCATCAGTTAGTCTTAGGCTCTAAGTGTAGTGTCGGTAAGTGCATTGATACTGATATCAGCAAGGAATATCATAGAGAAAGTCCCAACTAACTTAACTTGTCTGTGCAGGGGAGGAAGGAAAGAAACAGCACCAAGATTTCACAGTTATGTAACATGATGAGAACAGCTAGCACCCGAATTATTATAGGTTGGTAGATAAAAATTATGGACTTTCTGTGCCAGTACTTCTGCTTTACTCCATTTCTTCTCTTTTGGTGTTATAGCCCATCCAAAAGAAAAATAATTGCAGCTTTACAGATGGTTATTAATTCCTCTGGAATCATGGCAGTCTGCTGCCTAATTATGCACCAGGACATTGTTAGTCTTTCTGGAACCATCATGTTGCACTTTATCTCATCTCTTTACCACATTAAAAAGCCCAGGGTTATTCCCACAAGAGCGCTTGCATTCTGCGCTCCCCCTACCACCCTGTATAGCAATGTGCAAAACCCACAGAGACAGCTTCAAGGAGTCACAGTCATGTGAAGGTGGAGGACAGGGTAGAAACAAGACGGAACAGATCATGTAGCAGAGGTCACTGATTCTGCAAATCAAATCTTGTGCAAGCCCTACCTAAGAATATGAACATCTTGAAAGTAGTTTCAAATGGGCCATTATATCTACCCTAGTGATTATGTCAATGCAGAGATTTGGACTAGGGAACGATTTGTTCTACATAAGGATACAGAAGTAGAAAAGAACGCTGGGTTGATCCTCCCAACTCTGGGCTAGATCTCAGGGCCCATCTGGTACTTTAGAAGGGAAGAAAGAAGAAATGAAGGTACAGATCGAGTGAAAGGGAGGAAGGATATAAAATGGCTTTTCTGACTAAAAGAGGGAGAACCCATTACCTGTTAGAGAACTGAAGACATTCAATACACGAGGTATCGGCCTCTCTCACCTAATACCCAGCAGGCATAGCGGTAAGATCTCACTTTACATGTTATTCACAGAGAGAAAACACACTAAGGAACTTTTGTTTAATGTTCCCTATGATGATCCAGGCCTGCCAGCAATAGCAGTCCTGTTCCAAGTTCAGACTGATGCTTCTTGGGACAGGCAGTGTGACCTTCAGGAGGACCCTGAGTAAGCTAATGCCAACCACATTCCCTGCTTTTACTCATCAAGGTTAAACCAACAGGACAGCTCCTTCTAATTTGTCGTCTGGGCAGGGCACAAATCAGGATCAGGGCATGGCACACGAGCAGCCAAGAATCTCACATTCTCTCCTTCCAGAGCCCAGTGGTCTTTTCTCAAAACTTAATAGGTGGGAGTTAATGGAAAGTCTGAGGCTTTCCTGGCTCACTGATTTCTCCCAGGTGCCTGAGGACCCCCACTCTGTCCCTCGACTAAGGACTGGGTCCAGCTGATAGGTGAGCTTTGCATACTTCTCTTGGAGCCTCTGTGGAGACCCTCACATCTCTAACCTCAAAACAGATTAAGGCAAAAAGTGATTAGCACCTGAATTCCACCAGGTACAACTAGCTACTTACCCCAGTCTGTACACACAGGATGACGAGATGAGATTATATTGACAGCCTGTGTCAATCAGGGCTTTCACATCCTTTCCAGCACACTGTGGAGAAGAAACACACTGTTCAACAGGAGCAAGGGAAGGGAGGTCCAGAGAGCAAGCAGCAGGTGTCATATGAAAGGCAGGGTTGGACAGCATCTTCACGATATGGGTTGGTACTGTCCCATCTCTACCCACTGCTGAGTCTCCTTTGAGGGGCTCGTTTTCCTGCTGAACCTAGAGCTGACAGAAGATCCAAAGGAATTTGGGTGTTTCATTGTATATATCAAGTAGATTTTGTGTCTGTGTATGTACATGTGTATCACATAGCCCTATGCAAATCTGATGAATATTTTTTTCTTTTTTCCATAAGGATGCTCATGCATACAAAATACTGCATACGCTTTCTCTGTTGCATGGAGTGCCTTCCTTGAAACTCACTCATGAATTCTACGGTAAGACCCACATGCTACAATTTGGAGGTGAGAAACTCACTATTGGGATCATAAGCCCAAATCCTACTTGCCAGAAAACCCTGGAAAAGCTGTTCTCAGAACACTACCTGGCAAGAAACTAGAATCATGTCATCATCCTCGGACTTCTTCAGTCCCTCAGACTTAGCCTGATAGAGTTTGTTGGTCTTGGAGGTCCAAGGGACACGACTGCTCCGGAGCTTAGACAGGTTGGTTTCCATGAGGCGCCTCTGCAGGATGTTATGTGGTTGCTTGAGGAAGAGAAAGCAGAGGCTTCTTAATGACAAGTCATTTTTCCTTCTCCCCTTGTCCCCCAGGTGCCACTGCAATAATGAAGGAGCCTCACATAACTGAGCTCTACCTTTGCTTCTTATTTATTCTTCCTTCAAGTAGGGACTTCACTGGTATTGTCAGAGCAGGTACTATAAACCACTTTGCAGTAGGCCACCCTGAGTGAAAAGAGCAAGGCAGGACACTGAAATCGGTGGCTAGGGCCAATGAATAGTCAATGGCTACAGAGAGCGGAGGGACCCTTTTGATTTGGACCTTCCCATCCCTTACAGGGCATTTCAGGAGAAAAGTGGCCTTACTCTATGTGGAATGGGGGACTTACAGAAGGGGCAGCTTATTTTCACAGGCTGAAGAAGCCTAACTAGGACTGTTTGTGAGAAGCTCTGCCTATTTCTATTTTAAGTCTCACTCCCTTACAGTTCTATATTTTGGACCCAGTCTGTGTATATCTATGCCTTAGTGAGGGCTGAGTTACATGGGTAGATGCGGTGAGAAGACAGGAATTCAGACCTCCTGAGCAACCCTCTCGGGAGACACACTTTGGAAGTGGCCGAACCCACAGGAGTCATCCTTACTGACATCTTCGAAATCTCAAGAAGTATAAGACAACCCCTGCCATCTGCTTGTCATCCTCTCCCCTCTCTTCAATGGGCCCCAAAGTGGGAGTGTGAAAGGGGCAGAGACTGACCAGGAGGAAGGGGACTTAATTTGACCTTATATCTGTGTCAGGACACCTGCTGGGAGAAGGCAGAGTGAGGAAGGTGATTTCAAGCCTGCTCTTTGACTGAGCTGAGGAGAGAGTTCCCCGGGCAGCTATGTCCGTGCTCTACTGTCTCCACCCAAAGGGGCCTCCGGAAAGTATAAGCTACCTCTTGATAAGCAGTTGTTGACTTGAGAAATTTCTACACAATGCATCTTATTCCCAGTTTACATTATCATTCAAAATCCCTCACAGAATAGGGTCTAACCCTTAGTTTTTATGTAACACATACCAGATGGCACTCCAGTACTAGGGGAAAAGAGATACTCTTAGAAGCCCAGAGCCTAGAACTTTCCCAGGGAAGGGGGAAGGATGGAGTCAGAGCCATGACTCACTGTAACCCTGGTGAGGCGAAGAAACGTATTCCCAAAATACACTGATTCTTGGCAAAGCAGATTCTAAATTAGTATCCTCGAGAAAAGGAGAGAAAGAGGCACTTTAAAGAAAATGAGCTTCCTAAATTGATAAGGAGTTAGAAGAAGTGCTAACTCGGTCAGATTTCCTGTTGTGCCACTGGGAGAATGCTTTGCTCCTCAAAAGAAACAGAAATTCTTCATTCTTCTCTCTCTCGCTAATGCGCCTGGATTCCTAACTCACACTAATGCTGCGGCGTTTGCGTCTGCCAAGTCCATGCTTAGTAGGACCAACTCAGGTAAATTGTGCAGAACCGAAATTGCAAGGGGTTTCAAAGGCCATCTCATCAAAAGTTGGCCCAAAGTTTGGGGCTTTCCTTCTATTTTATATTGGTTTGCTGAACAGCACTGTATCTGGTTACTCTTAATCTTGCAGAGGAGTCTAATCACAACTGGACAGATGAGGCAAATGAGGAACATTCTAAAATTATTTTCCTTGAGGTTGTCCCTTTTGAATTTTCCTCCCTCCTACTGGATCCTTCCTCCACAGGCTACAAAACATACTAAAAGTTCTCATATTTTGGGGAGAAAAACTCAGACCCTGTATCCTCAACTCTACGCCCCTCTCTAATCATACCTTTGATTTTGAGTAGTCTTTTTAAAGAAAAGCTGAAATCATTATGTCTAGTTCCTGCTATCCTATATTTTCTTCACTGGGTTACTTTGGATCCCATACCACCAATAACAATGTCCTAATTTCCAAATCTGGTAGATATGCTTCAGCCTTCATTTTACTTGACTACCCTAGGGCCTTTGGCCCTGCTGACTACAGTCAGCCCTCCGTATCCGCAGGCTTCTTGAAGGTCACATGTTGAAGATACAAGAGTCACTGTCAGCCTGGGTCCCTAAATGACCATGAGAGGGCAGACCTTTCCACAAGTACTGTTACTTAAGAAAAAATATACTATTAGCCCTAGCTGGTGTGGCTCAGTGGATTGAGCGCCAGCCTGCAAACCAAAGGGTCACTGGTTCAGTTCCCAGTTAGGGCACATGCCTGGGTTACAGGCCAGGTTCCCAGCTGGGTGCATGCGAGAGGCAACCAGACATTAATGTTTCTCTCCCTCTCTTTCTCCCTCCGTTCCCCTCACTCTAAAAATAAATAAAACATTTAAAAAAATACACTATTGTGTTTGAGCTACTATATATTTTGGGGTCTAGCTGTGAAAGCATATTTCCTACTCAAACTAAAACCCTAGAAAGGCTGTGGAGCTAGAGGTATTATAACCTCTATAGTTGGAGGGTATGAGTAAGGTAGGAAATAAATTAGTGTAAAGCCTGCATAATATTCCCACTTGACCCAGACAACTGGGAAGAATGCCAAAAGTTTATTCTTTTTTTGTAAGAGAGTTTGAGAGTTTGGCTAGGCTTAGAAATTATGCACTGTCAGATTTCTAAAACAACTAAGAGTGAGGATGGCATAGCATACTAAGCCAGAACTGAAGGCTATGAGTTTAAAGATTGAAAGGGCGCACACTGAACCTTGCATAATGAAATAAAAAAGACCCACACCAAGATTTCACATCACTATGAATTTCTGGAGTATTACAGATGACAAAGATTCTAAAAGCTTCCAAAGAGAAAATGATCCAAACACAAAGGATTAGGAACCAGAATGGCACAGGACTGCTCAATGGTAATAACGGAAGCTAAAAGACAATGAAATAATGCCTTTTAAAAACCCGACAGTATATAATTTCTAAGCCTAGCCAAACTATCAATCAAGACTCAGCAGGTACTTCCCATACATCCTCAGGAAGCTCCTGAAGGATGTGTTCCACCAAAGTGAGGGAAATCGAAGAACAAGGGAGAAAAGCATAGGATCCAAGATATAAAGAATCCGATAGAGAAGACAGGCAAAGGAAATCCTGAGAACAGTGATGAAGGAAAAGTCGAGGACATGGGCTGTGTAGCAGGCCTTGAGAGCAACCAGTCCAAAATGAAATGGGAAGATAGAGGGCTCCAGGAAGGATGTCTCCAAGGGGGAAAAACAAAAGAAAAGAAATAGACCTGTTAGGTCATCTGCAGTTTTAAGGTATTTGAAGTAGATTTAAATTTTACAAAGAAAATTGAATAAATAAATAGGCAATTAGTAATTGTGAGAAAAATAAATGTGTGTGTGAGAAAGTAGACATAATTATAATACATTATTTGACTCAGCTGTGACTAACACGAATGTAGTCATAATAATGTAAGCAGTAAATGCTGATCTGACCCAAACCAATTATTTAACAGAATATTGGTATAATAGAGGAGAGGGACATGATGGAGAGGTGTAGGAGAATCAAACTTCAACTTCATCTATTACAATAGAAAAATCAATAGGTAATGATAAAATCAATAAATCCAAACGTCGGTTTACTTGTTCACGATTCCATTCCCCCAGCTAGAGTGTTAATTCCACAAGGGCAGGGATCTCGATTGTCCTGATCACAGCTCTATCCCCAACTCCTAACATAGCAGTGAACAAACCAATCTCTAACCGTCACGCCTTTTTTGATGAACATCATTTGGTTCTCTCTTTCAGAATCCCTTCAGTTCTTGTACATTACATAGTTTATACTACTTGAGTTCCCACTCCATGACTGTTGCTTTGTAAATTTGCTTAAGTCGTTTATTTTTATGTTTATTGAAGGAATGGCTTTCCAAGGACTGTCTTCTACCCCTGACAAGCCTTCCAGATACCCACTAGTGATTAGCTAGGCAGGTGCTGCAGGTACTCCGGTGGCCTTTTGGGCATAATTCTCAAGTCATCCTCCTGACATGAATCCTTCTTCGTGCTTTAGCTCAACAAGGCAACTACTAACCTAAGCAGTCCCTGGTTCTCTACCGTTTCTGAAATGTTGCGGCTAAACCCTAACCAGGGTTTAGGGACCTAAGCTCTAATCGAGCGAGCTCAAATGTGCCGCCGCCATCATCATCAGGGGCTCCTGAAGAAAATGGGCCCGGTGGGCAGTGCTGTTTTCTGGGTGGAAATAGCTGAGGTTCCTCAATCGGACATACAGTTTGCTTAAATGTCTCTTCTAGTCAGGCTGTTGGTGGGAAGAAAACGAGGGGCAAGGAAATAGATTATACTGCATGATGTCACACAATCATGATTTGAGCAAGAACTTCTAAGGCTACTTTCTCAACCCCTGTACCTATGCTGCACTGAACCCAGAGAGGATCAAACTAGTAGAATTTTGTGGTCCACAGAATGGACCAGAGTGGAAAATAGGGAGGATGACAGAAGCCCACCTTCTTTGTAGCATTTACACCCAGAGGAGAAACCCGAGGTTTCTAGCTAGGAATAGAACCACAGCTAGAACCACATAGGAATAGGGGTCAGTAAATACAGCCCTCAAACCAAATCCAGTCCGCTGCCTGTTTTTGTAAATGAAACTTGTAAACTGTCTATGGCTGCTTTTGCACAACAGCAGAGTTGAGTAGTTGAGACAGAGACTGTTCAGCCTATAAAGCAAAACAAAAAAAGAAAGAGTTACTATCTGGTCCTTTACAGAAAAGGTTCCCCAACGCCTGACTTGGAGTAGTATTTAAAAATATATGCTTTGCAGTCAGACAGAGCTGAGGTCAAGTTAGTAAATACCTCGTAGTGCTTTTGTGAGGATTAAATGATGTGATCTATATAAAGCACTCAAATGTTAGTAAGTGTGTATGTATGTGTATACACATTAAATTTTTACGCTCAGCCTAAAATTGAAGCCAATTACCATTCATTTTTTCCCCCTAAAAGAGAATGAAATCATTCTACTCTGCAGATAAACATAGACTCCTGATTGACTCTCACTTC